CTGTGATAGAGGTTGTTTAGAGAAAATATGAGAAGATTTTGCCTTTCGGTTCTACGGGTATTAGTATGGGATCTATGAGATCAATGTTGGGCTTTTAGAATTATTTCCTCTTTTGGTGATGGCTTATCACCGTCCTAATGTATTTTTTTCCTAATGAATTTTATTTTATTGTTCAACAAAAAACAAAAATTTAATGGCCCCTTGGAAAACATGGTATCAAATGTGCCAACCTGTTAGCCATCTACTAACTTGGTAAAAATTTATTAAGATAGAATTAAAATGACAATTTTTAATATAAAGATATCTGAAAGCCATTGTAAACAACCAATATCATTTGACAATAAAATAATACATTGGTTTGTACTATTGGACTGTGATAGTGGTTGTTTGGAGAAAAGATTTTTAGATTTTGCCATTCGGTTTATGGGTATTAGTATGGGAACAGTGGGATCAAAGTTGGGTGATGCCTTATCACTTTGCTAATGTGTTCTTTTTCCTAATAAATTTTATCTTATTCTTTAAAAAAAATCTTAATGGCCCTTGGCAAATGTAGGAAAAAATGTGCCAACTTAGTAAGCATCGTCTAACTTGGTAAAAATTTACCAAGATAGAGTTAAAATGACAATTTTTAATATAAAGTCATCCAAAAGCCATTGCAAACAACCAATATCATTTGACAATAAAATAATACATTGGTTTGTGTTATCGGACTGTGATAGAGGTTGTTTGGAGAAAAGATTATCAGATTTTTCCATTCGATTCTAGGGTATTAGTATGAACCAGTGGGATGATTGTGGGGCTCTTGGGTTTATTTACTCTTTGGGTGATGCTTTATCACATTCCTAAGATATTCTTTTTTCAAATGAATTTTATCTTATTTTTCAAAAAAATGATATCTTAATGGCCCATTAGCAGAGACGGGGCCAAATGTGCCAACTTGGTAAGCATCATCTAACTTAGTAAAACTTTAGTAGGATAGAATTAAAATGATAATTTGAAATATAAAAACATGCAAAAGCCATAAAAAAGAAGCAATATTTTGTAACAATAAGGAATATCTTGGTTTGTTTTTTGCACTGTGATAGAGGTTGTTTAGAGAAAAGATGATAAGATTTTGTCGTTCGATTCTACGGGTATTAGTATGGGATCTGTGAGATCAAAGTTGGGCTTTTAGATTTATTTCCTCTTTAGGTGATGGCTTATCACCGTCCTAATGTATTTTTTTCCTAATGAATTTTATCTTATTTTCAAAAAAAAAAATCTTAATGGCTCCTTAGCAAATATAGTGCCAAATGTGCCAACCTGTTAACCTTCTAATAACTTGGTAAAAATTTACCAAATTGGAGTTAAAATGACAATTTTTAATGTAAAGACATCCGAAAGCCATTGTAAACAACGAATATCATTTGACGATAAAATAACACATTGATTTGTATTATTGGACTGTGATAATGGTTGTTTGGAGAAAAGATTATCAGATTTTGCCATTCGGTTTAGGGGTATTAGTATGGGACCAGTGGGATCAAAGTAGGGTGATGCCTTATCACCTTGCTCTTGTGTTCTTTTTCCTAATGAATTTTATCTTATTTTTCAAAAAAAAAATCTTAATGGCCCTCGACGAATGTAGGGAAAAATGTGCCAATTTGGTAAGTATAATTTAACTTGGTAAAGAATTACCAAGATGCAATTAAAATGACAATTTTTAACATAAGGAGCTGCAAAAGCCCTTGCAAACAAGCAATATCAGTTGACAATAAAGGAATATCTCAATTCGTTTTATTAGGCTGTGATAAAGGTTACTTGGAGAAAAGATTATAACATTTTGTCATTCGGTTCTACTGGTATTAGTATGGGATCTGTGAGATTAAAATTGGGCTCTTGTGTTTATTTCCACTTTGGATGATGCTTTATCATCTTCCTAATGTATTCTTTTTCCAAATGAATTTTATCTTATTTTTCAAAAAAAAAATCTTAATGGCCCATTGGCAGATATGGGCCAAATGTGCCAACCCAGTAACCATCATCTAGGATATTATCTCATTTACTTTGTGGAAAATCTAGCTCCAAGAAATGACTGAACTTAAGAGTTGCTGCTTAGTCCAAGCCATTGAATATATTTGTATAAGGGGGTCATTGGCTGTGCAATGGTAATGTCCTGGAATGCCAAGCAAGAGAATGTTGGATTCGGTCTTGTCCAAAACTGTCAAAGATTAGGACTTAATTCTGGAATGCCGATCCTTGGGATCATTGTAAGGTAAAGTCCCTTTATTGGATGGTTGGATAAGAACTTATGTCTGGAATACGAAAAGCAGGATTCAATTCAGTGTAATATACACTTCAATACTCTCCCTTATTTAGTTCTCTGTATCCCATGGGGATGGTAAGGTTTGGGTTGAGGAGATTCTTAACCTTGGTATTTCATCAGTCACATATGTCAATTTTCTGGATTTTCATGCTAATGTGTCTTCAATTTCAATCTATAACTTATCTTCATTTTGCCTCACATTCTTTGGTTGTGGTTTTGGAATGACAATAGGTTATGAATGGTGTGATGGAATTAACTTCTGTTTTGTTCTCGAACTTTTGTTTGTTTAATTTTTTTTTTCTACTGATTTGCTTTGATCCACAATTACTGCCTATTTGTTATAAATTTATTTTTATCATAAATTTCTTTTCCTCTATTCAAAACATGTTTGTTTGCTTTATTCCATGCTTATTGTGTCTTTCATTGTAATTACTTTAGCATCTTTCCATATTAAGGTTATAAGGTTATTATTCCCATTTAAATTTTATCAATGTCACTTTTAATTACTATTTTAATTTTAGCCAGAATTCTCACCTTAGGTAAACAAATTCAGGTTTCTTTGATTTGAGGACATTCAACTTACAAATTAGTGTTTCTCATTAACTTAATTTGGCTCTTTATAAGAGGAATTTGAATAGTAGGCTGAGAAGGAAAACACCCTCCTAGAGTCTACAACAAAACAATATGTGATTATTAATGTTTGTTATGAGTGATTATCACTAAACTATCATCTTAATTTTGGAGAGACATTTTCATAACCAAAGTAAATTGACCTTTCATAGAAGAAATTTTACAAACACACACTTGCTTGATTTTCTTTTCCTTGTGTAAACTAATGTACACTCGTTCTCTAATGCACATTCAACAGGAATGAATCAGCATCAAACACAACTTAACAAAAAAATTTATATAAAAACGACAACCTATTTAATGTGATAGAAAAGCAAAGAGAACCAAAAATCAAATTTATTTGAAAGGACTTTTTGATTGACTATAACAAATTAAACTATCATACAAAGAAATTGTCAAATACCTGTTAGTGGCACAAGTGTTCAAAATGATAACTTCCTCCGGTTAGGGAAGGCCTCAATGTATTGGCCAAAACTTTAGTCTGATGGATAAGGCAAACAAAATTATGGAGCAGTGACAAATGTTGCGCAAGAAACAAAAACGATTAAGATGGGCCTTCACCTGGTATATATTGAGACAGGAATAGAAGTGAAAAAAGCAACAATGCTACTTGAAAATTTGCAGGTAGAGGGACAACGAGACAGAGGGAGGGCAGGAGAGCGATAGATGGGGAGAGAGAGAGAGAGAGAGAGAGAGAGAGAGAGAGAGAATGGGGGCGAGACAAAGGGAGAACGGGAGAGAGTTATAGAGTGAGAGCGAAGAGGGAGAATAGGAGAGAGGGAGAGCGAGAGAGGGAGAATGGGAGAAAGTGATAGCAAGAGGGAGGGAGGGAGAGCGAGACAAAGGGAGAACGGGAGAAAGTGATAGCAAGAGGGAGGGAGAGCAGGAGAGAGGGAGAGAGAGAATGGGAGTAAGCGAGAGCGAGAGAGACTGATAGAGGGAGGAGAAAATGGGAGGGTGAGGGCGCAACAAAGGGAGAGCAAAACTAAGGGGGTGAGGGAGGAGAAAATGAGAGTGTGAAAAAGGGATAGCGAGAACAGGAGAAAGTGGGGGCGATAGAGGGAGAGGGACAACGAGATAGAGGGAGAGCAGGAGAGCGATAAAGGGGGAGGGAGACCAAGAGAGAGAGAGAGAGAGAATGGGGGTGAGACAGAGGGAGAACGGAAGAGAGTTATAGTGAGAGCAAGGAGGGAGAACAGGAGAGAGGGAGAGCGAGACAAAGGGAGAACAGGAGAAAGTGATAGCGAGAGGGAGGGAGAGCGGGAGAGAGGGAGAGAAAGAACGGTAGAAAGCGAGAGCGAGAGAGACTGATAGAGGGAGAGGGCGAGGGCACAGCGAAAGGAGAGCAAGACTGAGGGGGGCGAGGGAGGAGAAAATGAGAGTGTGAAAAAGGGATAGCGAGAACGGAAGAAAGTGAGAGCAAGAGAGACTGAGAATAGGGGGAGTGAGGGAGGAGAAAATGAGAGTGAGAATGAGGGGCGCCACTGGGGAGGAGAACTTGCAGTTGCAAGGAAGCAACCGAAGAGAAGAGAGTTAAGACTGTGAGAACAACAAAAGATAGTGAGAGAGGCGGGAGAGTAGCCGAAGTTCAATCGTCGAGGGAAAAGTTACAATCGAAGAGAAGAGAGTTGAGAGTGTGAGAGAACGAAAGAGAGAGAATAGGGAGGGCAGGAGAGAACAATGACCGTGGGCCCTAATAGGGTCATTTTAGTCTTTGCAATTTAAGGGTAAATTTCAAAATAAAATTTTAAATAAATGTTATTGTTAATCCGAATTGGATTGCCACCTCACGGTAAAAACATAGGTAAAAGTGTGACACTTAAATGGCGGGGGAATCGATCTTACGATTTCAAAAGTTAAATTCGAGAGTCATTGTAAATTCTGTATGGGCCGGTGTGTTCAAATTTCTGCAATGAACCTGCTCGTACTTTTCCCTATTGTTTTTGACTCTTCACATCGTAATAATTGACGATACCAATATGTCCTTAGGAATCTTACGGATGCACTTGTGAAAACCCTAGACCCCGAACATTGAATTAGAAGAGGTAATAACAGTCGACATCATGGAATGAACGTTTTTTGGCCAAAGGTCACGCAAAAACACAAAAACAGAACGTGTAGTTGTAGTTGGGGGTTTGTTTGGCCTTTCGACTTGGGGGGCCGGCATTATTCATCTCCAGTACGTCTGAGAGCTCCTTCTTGTACCTCCATTTTGGAGCGAGCTCTCTTCTCATGCAATCAGCATCTCATATCACTTCCGATTCTACTCGACTCCACCTCCCATGGACGACGCAACGTCCCCACTTCATGGTCCAAAGCCCTAAATTTAGGCAACGAAAACTCCCCCAAAGACACTTACTTCTTTCAAATTCCTTGAAAACTTCTTATGGGTATGAATTCGAAGGCATCGGCAGAGAAGAAGAACCAGCGACGGCATTACGCCTGCCTGTCGTAGTTCGCCGGTCTGGTAGGGCTTCTCGCTACTTCTGGGATGGCACCCATTTGCGGTTAGTTTATTTGGATGGAGGCGCCTCGAATTGTTTAACATTAGACAATGGGTTTCGAAAATTTTTCCAATTTTGTAGCTTGGCTATTCGGGATTTTTTCATTCCTCACCAAGTTCATGGGCACTACATAGATTACGTAAAGTGGAAATTCTTGCATCGGGTTTTCAGTTCTGCACTACAGGTTCTCGGTACTCAGGTAAAAGTGTACTGCTAAAAATGCTTTTTTATTTTTATTTTTTAATTCTCTGTTTCGAGTTTTCTGCAGATAAATGACTGGATTCATACTGTAAAATTCTTTCTCTTACAACATGAAGCTATGCACTACTTTGGCATTGAGAGGAAAACGCTTTTCATTAGGTGTGGAGAAATAAATATAAATGGGGCTGTAACTTTTGTTTTCCTTTTTCCTTTTTTTTTTTGTTTTTGTTTTCTGGTTAAAGCAAGGGAGCAAGAGCGTTTCTTCTTTAGTATCCAAATGGGCCAATGCCAAATACTTTGTGATGTAGCAAGCAATAGATTTATGTATTAAGTTGTTAGGACTTTTTTGCTTTCAGTGTTCAGTTCAGATCTGGAAGGTGACAATTAGGTAATAGGTGTTATTATGTTGACATTGTGGGTTGGTTGATATTAGGCAATGTTTCGAGCTATAGGTGTTGGGTATTCTCGCTCCCTTCCTTCAGCTGCTGCACTCAATTGGGTGCTAAAGGATGGTCTTGGGAGGCTTAGTCGATGCATATACACTGCTAGCTTGGCATCCGCATTTGACACCAATTTGAAGGTATGACGGATTTACTAGCTAGAATTTGGTGTGTTGGGGTTAAATAAGGTGACATTTTAATACTTGTTTTTGTCTAGTTTGCAGAGAGTTAGGTTCTCTACGTCTGTTCTCTTCACCTTGAGCATAGGAGTTGAGTTGCTGACTCCAGCATTCCCACAGAACTTCTTGCTTCTTGCAACTGTGGCCAACATTGCTAAACAAATAAGCCTGGCTTGCTACCTAGCAACTGGTGTAAGGCTTCAAGCCTCATGCTTAATTTGCTATCATGTCATCTCATGCTTTTCTTTAATAGTTATTTGTTAAATGCTTAAATCCATCCATGCTCTACTTAGCATTATGTCTGTACATCTGTAATTTAGCATTACATTTGGAGTCTCTTAATTCCTTGTCGTAACTCACAAGTTTGTAATGGTGGCCTTACTGAGTGCTTTTTCTATTCATCACTATAATTAGTATTCCTGCTTATTTGAAGATTGTATACTATAACTAGTATTCCTCTTTCCAAAAAAATAAAAAGAAAAGAAAAATTTTTGTATACTTTTTAGTTTAATTGACAGGTCCAATTCCCAAACTCTAAGATTCATGAGCATGGATCTAATTCCTAGCCACATACTTGCTTCCAGCTCCTGCACTTGAGATGTGCAAACAACCAATACTCCTTGTAGAATTCTCATTTTCTAGATTGGTAAGGTATGCAGATATTGGTATAAGTGACATGGACTTAAAAACCTGTCATGACCCATTAATACTAGATAAGAGCAACATGTATAGGAGATACCAAAACTAGATATTGTCAACAAATACTATAAGTCAGTCATTTTTAGGATTTTTATTTTGAGTAGATTTTATGTTCACTTTTTGCTTGGAGTCCTTTTCCAGCTATGGAAGTATGCATTGCCTTGCATCTGAGAGGTTTGAAGCTCCAAATCCTTTCCATTGTTATCTTTCAAAGTTTAAAAGAAAAAAGAAATCCTTTTCATGTTGTACATGATATATGAAGTTTTTTATTCCTATCTTTCTATTTTCTGTGGACATTTATTGTTTACTGTATTGGCAGTCTGCTGTACACCAAAGTTTTGCAATTGCAGATAATCTTGGTGAAGTTTCTGCCAAAGCACAGGTATGTTATGGTTGAACCTATCACATTTCTTATGCTTTATCATTATCTACTTTGTATTGGCTACACTAATCTTTGGCTTGGGTTGCAGATTCAAACTGTGTGCTTTGATAACATTGGCCTGATGCTTGCTGCACTCTTGAATATATTGTGCAAGAATAGCCAAAGGTTTCCCTCTTTGTCTCTACCTTTAATTACAATTCTGATTTGCTTTGTATTGAAATTAGTTTTTTTTTTAATACTTCCCATGTGCTTAAAAAGCTTATAATGTGATAAATCTAATGGGTGCAAAATCAATCCCATTGGAATTTATTGATATCTTATTGATGGTTAGATATTATCCACTAGTAAGTTTGATGGTTTGAGTTTGATGCCCTATGGCGTTCACATTCACACTTTCCCTGACCTTTAATACATTGACAAGAGAAACCAATAAATGTAGGATTCTATTATCTACAAGATGTTCTGTTCATATTTTCTCTGCATTGAACAAGAATTAATTGCAAACATTGAAATTGAATTTTGGATAAGTAAGCAGACTACAAACTTCTTGTTCTCTAATTTTTGGCTTTATTGCAGAAGATAAACTTCTTTCCACTTGTTTCTGCTGTTGCCCTGGTTTACTAGTTTCACGATTGCAAATTATCCTTTATTCTCATTAAGTGGCATTTAATTAGTATCTTTGGAGGACTAATTTATATTTTTTACTTTGCAAGATTGCAAGCATGTCTTCCTTTTGTTGTATACCCAGTTTTCTCTACAATCGACCTTTTTGGGATCTACCAAGGACTCAAGCATGTCCATCTGCAGACATTAACTAAGGTTGGTCATCTCCTTTTCTTCCTTTTCTTTTCTTTTTATTTTGTGGAAATATCAGGTAAAAAGTTGTAAAGTGTAAAAGAAGAGGGTCGAAATAACAACTATCCAGACCAATGTTTTAAAACGCGGAGGCATGATGCAAGGCGTTCCACTACCTAGAGGCGTGAGGCGTAGTTCAGAACGTAAGAGGCATAAGCCTCCCGAGCACAAGGAAATAATGATAAAGCATGGGGGGATCTCATTTTTTCTTTATTTTTAATAAAAACCTTTTATATTAAGAAGAATAAAGATGCATAGCACTAGTTGAAAGGGGGGGTCTTGTCGAACATTTTATTAATTTGGAAATATTAGCACATACAAGCAGCTCTTGGAGAGGCACGAGCTGCGATTTCTCCACTAAAGAAGAAAACAAAAGGATTCTTATGAGCAACCATGTGCTAATTTGGAAATATTAGCACAACATTTGAATTTTATGAAAAGCTAAGCAACCATGTGTTAAAGGACTCTTATGAGCCAATAGTGAAGGTTAATAGTTGGTCCATTGACTTTAACTACATTCAATTTTGAAGTACCATGTCTGTTTAATTCCAGTTTTTTGCTCATTCTTGCTTGTGATATAAACAGGTAAAAATGTGCTCTTTTATGATTTATTGGATAGTCAAAATTGGTATCTATTTTTATAGATGGATAATTTTTATGATTATAAATGCCATATGGGCAAAAAAAATATAATGTTCTCTTATTTATGCCCTGCAATGAAATGAAGAAGTTTTTCTAAGTTCCACCTATTGGTTTCTGAACTTTATTATCTCACCATCTGAATTTAACATTCAGGATAGGCTTGAGATTATACTTAGTACCTGGATTGAGTTGGGATTTATTCCTTCACCTGCAGAGGTGAGTAAGGAAGAAGGCATGGATTTTCCATGGAGCAGAGGTGAGGCCTTCTCCTAGCAAATTCTATATGGCCATTGATTTGGTATTTCCATATTTACTGCTTGAATTTTAAAAGTACATAGACGACAGAGACTACAAATTATTAATGAGGTTTGGATCAGGCAGAAAGTCGTGGCCAGTTAGAGTCGGATGTGTAGATCCTAATGATCCAATACCAAAGCTCTCAATGCTGACAATGAAGTCTCTGAAGCGTGAAGATTTCTGCTTCATCTGCTTGGAGACATCCATCAAGGGTTTGACCAGAAATGTGCAGGTTAGCATATTGAAGAATGTTCTTTACACGTTAGAGTATAGTTTTGGTTTGTTAATGTCCTTTATTTTTTATTTGAAATTTCAGCAAGGAATTCTTGTATGCCTACGGGAAGGAGCTGGCACGACAGATATCATCATGGGTTTGTTGCAGGTAAATGGTACTTGATATAGGAAAAATAAATTGTATTCAATCTAGTAATAGGAAACCGCCGTTAATACCACTCTTGGCATTATTGTAATAATGTATGTAAGGTGCACCTGGGGATGTACACAGACCAGGTCTACTCATTACCCTGTCTCACCCCAATCCTAAGTACTTGGGCTTGGCCAGGCCAGGCCTTGCTGACCTCAGTCTGGCATGATTACACCAATAATGGCACACATCTAGTGGACCCATTGTGAGGTAGCACCATAGCACTATTTATGAGTTTTTGCAATTCTAATTGTTGGAGTTCAGTTAGAAATATCACTCACTTATGTTACTATGTCCCAGAAGATCTCTCCTGATGGAATCATTAAATGGTGGTTCCTAGCTCTCCTTGTGAATGGGGTATGTAGCATGGTGAATGGGTCATGTTCTAGTCTGGTGTCATTAGCCCTTTTTTGACATGTAGTGTTCACAGATATTTGTTGCTAGTGTTATTTCTTAACTACTGATATGGAAGAGATTATTATTATGACAGTTAGGTGGCATTTGATAGCATTTTTTTTTTTGAAAAAAAAAGGTAAGGTAAATTTATTCATGATGAAAGAAACATACAATAAAAGGGAAGCTCTTGATACAAAAAACCCCAAGGGACTAATCAAAGCTCCCATAGATTGGCAGAATTAAGCATCATAAACATGTTCTGATTACAAAACACAGGGGTAACAGACAGCCACGGTGCTAGTTTGGCTACAATACATTGAATCAACTCCTCCGGATCTTTCCTCTCATTTCTGAATATTCTGTCATTTCTCTCAGACCTATAGAGATGATCACTGCAGCTGGGATGGTGTTCCAAATGTATTTTCCTTTCTTTGATAAGGCCGGCAGGTACCAGCAGTGCAGCAGACTCTTCAATGTACCTGGCATTGCCCAACTAATACCAACAGTATTGAAGAAATGAGACCAGATTCTCCAGACAATCGTGCAATGCATACAGAGATGCTCAATAGATTCTTCTTCAAGGCCTCACACCAAATATCATTTAAACTCAAACCTCTTTGCCATATTGCTTTTTGTTAAGCATTTCCTTAATGCTGAGGCCCATTTCAAGAAATTGACTTTGGATGGAACTTGGGAATCCAGATTTGTTTATGAGGGAAATCAGTAGTTCTTCTAACATTCATTTTATCAACCAAAGATCTCACTGTGAATTTTCCATCAGCAGACGAAATCCAGACCCATTTGTCAGCTGAGTGGGGGTGGAAGGCAAATGTATTCAGGCGGTTCAGCAGATTTACAACCTCCTCAACTTCCCAATCAAGGAAATCCCTTCTGAATTTAGGCTTCCATACCACTTTCCCCCGGATAATTTCAAAATAATCAACCACCCTCGCCTCTTTATTAACAGCAACAGAGAAAAGACAAGGAAATTTCTCTTCCAAAGATGTCTCATTGAGCCATCTGTCCTTCCAAAACCAAATTCTTTCTCCAACATCTATTTTGAAGCACACTCCTTTTAGGATATGAGGAAGAGTCCCCATTATATCTTTCCACAAGGAACATCCATAAGAATGCAACTTGTTGTCAGTACTCAGTTATCCATCCCCCTGGCTGTAGACCATATTTAGATGCAATAAGCTTTCTCCACCAACCATTTTCTTCAACGCCAAATCTCCAGATCCACTTTCCCAATAAAGCAGTATTGAAACTTTTTATTCTTCTCAAACCTAAACTACCTGAAAACCTTGGACTATATCTTTTTTTCATCTTCCCACCCTCTCCACAAGAAATCGCTTTGCAGCCTTTCTATTCTCTTAGGTATTGAACCAGGAATAGGGAAGAGAGACAGATAGTAGGTAGGCAGATTTGCCATAGTACTTCTGATCAATGTTACCCTACCACCTTTTGATAGATACTTTGCTTTCCACGAGGCAAGTTTCTTTTCTAGTCTTTCTAATACTGGTTGCCAAATTGTTGAAGAACATTTAGCACCCAATAGAAGGCCAAGATAGGTGGTGGGGAGCTTGTCCATTTTACAACCCAACATTCCAGCCCACATGGCTAGGGGTGGATTCGAGTCGAGCCGAGCCGAATAGTACGAGGCTCAAGCTCGGCTCCCCAAGGTTGTACAAGGCTCGAGCTCGATTTGAGAAAAAAGGTTTTATAAAAATAAAAAATTATATATAAAAAATATTTTTATTTGATATTTAAAAAATTAAGAATTATAATATTTTTATTATATATTATTTTCTATAATTTTATTATATATATATACACGAGCTTGGCTCGCGAGCCTCACGAGCCGAGCTCTATTAGGCTCGAGCTTGGCTCSAAGCTTGGTTGAAACCAAGCCGAGCTCAAGTAGCTCGTGAAGAGCTTGACTCGTGGCCACCCCTACACATGGCAAGATCCACCACATTTCCCACCAAAATCAGGGATGATTTCCCAAGATTCAATTTTAGACCCGTTACCACTTCAAACCAAGCAAAGATTCCTACAAGAGTCTCTATTTGGGGGAAAGAAGCATCTATGAAGCACAGTGTATCATCCGCAAAATGAAGCACATTAACCTTTTCACCCCTTGGAGTTATTTCAAAACCCTCCCAGAGGCCCACCTGTCCTGCCCGATTGATGAATTGGGTCAGAACCTCCATTACACATAGGAGGAGTAGAGGAGACAGGGGGTCTCCTTGGTGAATGCCTCTGGAACTCTTAAAGAAACCAGAAGAGTTTCCATTAATTATAACCGAAAATTTTGGTGATGAGAAGCATACCTTCATCCAATTTCTCCATTTCTGACTGAAGTTCATCTTCTCCAAAATAAAATTTAGGCATCTCCAGTTAACATGATCATAGGCTTTTTCAAGGTCCACTTTACAAAGGATTCCTGGTTTTCCCGCTCTTATCCTTGAGTTGATCACTTCATTAGCAATAAGAGCACTGTCCAAGATTTGTCTTCCTCCAATAAAAGTACATTGGTTATCTGATATTACACTTCCTAACTGCTTCTTTAATCTCTCGGCCAACACTTTTGCAAGGAGTTTATAGAAGCTACTCAGCAGGATTATTGGCCTAAAATCTTTGACATTTGTTGCTCATTCCACCTTTGGGATTAAGGTAATGAATGCAGCGTCCAAGCTTCTGACCAAAGAGGCAGAAACATGAAAATCTTGAAATTCCTTCAAAATATCCTTTTTGATAACAGTCCAGCACTTCTTATAGAATAGATTTGTTAAGCCATCAAGACCTGGAGATTTATCCAACTCCATTTTCTGAACTGCAGCCCAAATTTCTTCTTCTGAGAAAGTTTTAACCAGATCCTCCTTTTGTGATTCACTTAAAGATTTAAAATGCACACCTTCAGGCAGAGGACATTTCTTCCACCGCTCCAAGAACAGAGCTTTATAGAAGTGTGTAGCAATGGCCTGAATCTCAATTGGTTGCTCCCCAATCCTGCCATCACATTCCAGCCTGTCAATATTATTAATACTGAAGCGTGCATTTGCCATCTTATGAAAAAATTTGGAGTTCTTATCTCCTGCCTTCAACCACTTCACTTTTGCCTTCTGACGCCAACTAATTTCATCTTTGTATACTAGTTTATCAAAGATGATCCTTGCCTCTTCTCTATTTCTTCTCTCCTCTTCAGGCAGTTGTCTCTGTTCTTCTAATCTGTCCAGTTCCTTAATCAGCTCCAAGCACTCCAACTTCTTTTGCTTGGTTGTAGAAGCTTTACCTTTCTTCCACTTTCTTATTGACAGACTTGATTGCCCCCAATTTCTTTGCCAGCACATAAGAACTTGTGCCTTCCACCTGGATATCATCCCATTTTTCTGCAATTAGAGTCTTCAGCTCCTCCTCTTCAAGCCAGCTATTGTCAAGTCTGAACGGTGCAGGTTTCTTGATTTGTCTACCCATGACCAACTGAATAGGGCAATGATCTGAAATTGGCCACGGTAGAGCTTCTTGCTTAATGCTTGGAAAGCTATCTTCCCAATCAGCTGAAACCAAGAACCTATCCAGCTTCACCAGGACTGGGTCTTCCTGATTATTAGACCAAGTATACTTTGCACCTGAAAGAGGTAAATCAATAAACTCAAACCTGTTTATTAAACCTGAAAAGTCCTTCATCGCTTTTGTTCTACTCTGACTTCCTTTCTTTTCTTCAACACATCTGGTTACATTGAAACCACCCCCAATTATCCATGGCAGTGTCAAATTACCCCCCAATAGAAATTTGAAATGACCCATAATGCCCTTAAAAAATTTAGGTCATTTGACTCCTCCCCTGATTCAAGAAAGGAGATTTTCCGCTGGGAAGTTCTGCTCTCTTCTTCTTCACTAGACGGCGCAGCACAAACTTCTCCCTCCTCCCTTCTCTCTCTCCCCCTCTCCTTCACTCGACGTTCTCTACATCCTCTGCTTCAGATATGCAGATCCATCTGAAGAGAATGCCAATGCTGCTCCTGGCGATGCTACATTTCAGATCATCTTATTCTTCTTTCTCGCCCCCGCCACTGCAACTCTCAGCAGCGGCGTGTCTGATTCCTCTCTCTTATCCCGTCTTCCCGCCATCGCTGCTGCAACTCTCAGCAGCAGCGGCGGTTCTTTCCAATTTTATTCTTATTTTTTTATAAATTATATTTGTATTAATCATTAATTAATTTAATTTTTATTAATTATTAAATATTTTAATAGTTTTTAGATATTGATTATTAAATATTTTAATTTTTTATTGCTTCATGCTCTTTATTAATATTTTCATTATTATTTTACTCTTAATAATTTTTTTAATTTATAAATTGATATGTATTTTTCAGTTCTATTCTTATTTTAATAAATTCTTTTTTATTTTTTATAATTTACTCATAATTTTAAATATTATTTTGAATTAACAAATTATTTTTAATGAAATAATGCAAATTGAACTCAAAATTACCAAATAGTCTATTTTAGGGGTAAAATAGTAAAATCAATGAATTTCAGATGCTGAAGGTTTGATCCAACACAAATAACCTTCTTTATTCAGAGCCTCTAAAAAGTCGAGAAGCAACTATGTCTCTTTTCAGATTTCAGACACTTTTAATATCTTTTTAACTTTTCAGATTTATCAAACGCCACTTTACTATCTTAATTGTTAACCTAAATTGTTTGCCTTGACATTATCAGCAATGATAATTCTGAACCCATTGGCAAATGGATGTGATTTGTTGTAGGCATGTCATATCCGGAAAGCTCTTCTACTGAACAAGAGCAGATGGGAGCATCTTCTAGAACTTGGTGACCCCATAGACTCAGTTGTTAGAGACTGGTTTAAAGTGGTTGAAGATAGCAGGAGATGTTTGCAAGAGGATGTTCACCTGTTGAAGGAAGAAATGTCAAGATCTGGTTGGGCTGTTAAAAACGTTTTATTGAACCTGCAAGAGCAGGTCCGATATAGTTTGCTAGATGATTGAGGGGAATCATGTGGTTTGGATGGCCGTGGTTGCACAATTAGGGTTTGGCCATGACTTTGAGATAGCTATTTGCAATTTTTGCATGTACATGTATTTGTAAATTTTTTAGGGGTACATATTTCTGTTAAAATACCACTGTCCCCAACTGATTATTGATGCATGCAGAGAACGTAGCCAATATGTGAGTGACATGGTGGTTAGAATGGCAAATCTCTATCCCACCTCCAAGTTTCTCTTTGGTTTTCAACTATGTTGTTTACATTGTCAGTATTAGTTTGGGCAATCTTCCAGAGTTTTTTCCTGTCTGAGGATGGGATTTTACGATATGATAGTTTATTAAATTTTTTTCCTCCCCTTACAACACGGAAGCAAAAACAATGCTGAAAGGGAGTTGGGGTGAATTACAGATTACTACCCTGTAATTTGGGGTAGTGGCATGTAGCCCCCGAGTTTTTATTTACAACAAAGATCCCCTGAACTTTCATGTTCTAACACTTTGACCCTGCCATGGAGGAATCCTTTGGTCTCAAAAATGCATTATAATTTATAAATGTTAGGGTAAATTATAAATGGATTGGTCTCAAACAAAAATATTCAGGAGTTCTTTTCCCCTGACAAGTTAGGAATCATGGATGAGTTCTTTGGCCTCAAAATGCGAATTTGGGTTAACTGAATGTTTTAACTGTGTAGCAGGCAGGCTGTGGAACCAATGATAACACCCAAAAATGTTTGTGGGTCTCAATTCTCGAGTATTCTCTCACTTGTGTGTGAAATGCTATTATTGATGCCAACCCTGCCGAACATCCATGGAAGTGGATGACCCCATCCCATTTAATGTTTTTCTTGGAAGGTACCTACGTGAATGCGTCACCTGATTCTGATCATCTCAATCACATTGTACTTACTGCATTATTTTATTTGTCCCAAGTAGCAACATTTTGGAGCCCCGCCGCCCTTGTTAATACTGCTCACTACTACAGAGTATTCAGGCTCATTTACAGCCACCATCGTTGTCAATGTTACACTACTCACTGGTATGTGATTGAATCATCAATGTTTATGATCAGAAATCTTGATTGATAATCTCCTTTTGACATTGTTGGTAGGTCCCCGGTGAATTCAATATACCTCAGAATGGTTCACCAGTCTGATGGCTGGCTGCAAACCCCAAACGCCGGCTCCCAGATATTGATTACTCAGTTATACCTCCATCCTCTCCTTATTACTGTTGAGCTCCGTAAGAATTAATTGATCCAGAATGGGAAGTTGTTTTGTGGGGTGGAGCAAAATGAGAGAGAGAGAGAGAGAGGGAAGATTACGATTTGTTGCACTTACTGCGTAGAGGACATGGAGTAGTCTCTGGGCACTACTCCACAGAGAGATAGAGAGAGATGAGATATTGAACGTAGAGTTGCATTTCCCTACATCTCCATCAACAAAGCCAAAGCAACGATTATTATGATATGGTTGATAGCTTGGCTGGCATTGATTGATAGCTGCTATAAACCCCCAATTCCAACCTGTCGCTAACTGTGCAGAATCCATCAAAGTCTCAAATACATGGTAAATATTTACTCTTTACCAGAACTAGACCAACCAGCGAGGATAAGAAAATTGTAAGAAATAACACTTGACACTTGGTATCTCGCTAATCGATTCAATGGTGGTGGGGGAATACTGAAAAACACAATACAATAACATGTTAGTTGCCTTAGAAAGCGTGTCATAGTGTCGGCAAAGTAATCTCTTGTCTCCATTACAGTACTACTTACTATTACATTGGAATTAAATTATTGAAAACAAAGACGATCCCCCACAAAACTAAACCTAAACCACTCAAACTTGACAGGAAAAGAGAATCAATTGCAAACCTAATCCCATCGAAGTTTTGAGCTTCCTTCCATTGGACGGACGTTCAGTAAAACTTGCAAGTATCTGGCAACAGGGGCTCTGGATTCCTTTAAACAGTGCCACACTTTAATATGTACTTGGGCTGTAGGGCTTGCAAGTTTGTAATGTTGCTGAGGGTTAACAATTGCGGGTTCCACTAGGGATGGCAATGGGGCGGGTTTGGGGAGGGTTTTCTAAATTTTATATTCTCTCAATTGGTACCTCATCGAACAGATGAAAATGCAAAACCCTCCTCGCATTTGAGAATGAAATGGGTTAGATCGGAAGGTTGGGCTTCAAATTCACATCTAATTTCCTATTATTTTGTGTTGTGTATGAATAATAAATAAGTAAAATAGTAATATAGCATAAACAAACACAAAAAAATTCCAATTATGTAAAAAACACAAACTATCAATTATTCTTTACATAAAATTCAAAATATTATTACATTCAAAACCTAGTAAAGAAATTAATCTGCCTTCGAATGATATGTAGGTCTGATTTATCCTAATACCATATCCCCATACGGATTGTAAAACCCCAAACTTCATTCCACCCCAAAATTTATTTTCAAGAAGAAAAAAAAAAAAACTCCCCATTAGGCCAGATAGTCACTAAGTAAGATAAAAAAATGCCATCCCTAGACTTTACCACCATATACGACCACTGTTAAGTGAAAAATGGACACTTAACTCTTCCACCCACAAACCATAAATGTCCAACAAATTAAAATACAAAAAAAAAAAACAATAAACTTGACAGAGTGAATTATGAAAATCAGAAATCAGACCACTAAAATTTCATTTTATCATGAATGATCTTACTGCCAGCTCTACTCCTCAGGGCAGGTGCCAGGCAGACACTTAACCATGGTTAACTAACTCTGGATTTATGTTTAGGCCCAATTTTTAAATGTTCGCATGTAATCTATATATTTATAGCACACCAACAAAGAAGGCAAGAAAGAATTCCTGTGTCCTCTCTCTTTCTTCTTTTTCTTGTTCTAAGCTAGGTTTTTTCTTTCTTCAATATAATTCCGTCGCATTTTCCGGTGTTCCAAAACTTCAGAGGAGCTCATGTTTCCGGTGGATACAACCTGGTCGTCCCATGTTGGAAAAAGAGGAGCAGATGGAGATCAGTACACTGAAAAGAGGATTCCAGAGCACGTAATAGTGGCCGTCAGAGCTGAGAAGGACATTTCCAAGACTGCACTGGTTTGGGCACTGTCCTGCATCGTTCGTCCTGGAGATTGCATTACGTTGCTCGCTATCCTTCCCCCCGAGAAAAACAGAGGTAATTCACTGAGCTTTCTGTTCTCTCTCTCTCTCTCTGGGCGTGTTAGTCTGTTGGTGTGTGCTTACTTAATTGCTTATAATCATAATATTGTGCTCATGATGCAGGTCGGAAATTATGGGGTTTTCCGAGATTGAGCGGAGATTGTGGGAGCCGTCAATGGGAGAAGTCTTCCGACTGGAAATGCCAGATCTCAGAATATTGTTCCAAGATGATGCTCCAAGTTCACGACCAAAACCAGGTGAGAGGCACAATTTACCAAAAACCAAACTGTTCGACCAACTTGCTTATATCTTTGCACCCATAAGCATTATGTGACAAAACACACCTTCAAATCAAAAGAATCGTTGTCCCAATGGTCTGACAACACTTGATTGGGTGTGTCAGAGTCTGTCACGACTCAGACGCCGGGATCTGACTGACCGGCAATAAGTTATGACGTCACTTGAGAAACGGAATCTTAACGAAAAAAAAACCAAAAAGGGGCTGTTTGCTTCGAGAAACCATGAACAGTGGGTAGGAAAATATGGAGAATATTTTAGCTGAGTTGGCTCTAGGTTGTTGTCAGTTAATCGGTGCAGCAAGCAACGGCTGTTTGACAGACTCCAACGGTCCAACCAATGTAACATTTGGGTCCACCCACTAACTGGCAGTCAAGAAATTTGCATAGTCTCCTCGGTATCACACTACCACTCACTGTCTGAGACCTTAGATCGTGTTTGGTTCCCTTGCCATTTATTTGAAAATAGTGTCATATCATTGTTATATAGTGGTTTATTCTGCAATGAACATTTATTAAATAAATTTGTTTCGACTTGTTTAAGAGCTCAATCATTGAAGAAAGTTTCATTTTAGTGTTTTTTCTAGGAGATGTTTGGTATGACTTTCGTTTATTTGAAAAGCATTTGTATTTGATAATATTTCCTATCATTAAAAATTTTAGGGCCCGTTTGGCAAGTCTTTTTGAGAAGATATTCTCGTAGTTCTGACGGTCAATAGACATACTAAACTTTTGATATAAGATCTGGGTAGCCCGAAGACCGTTTGGCATATGCACGTCTTTCCGTGCATTGTTTCGGGTCTTTTCCCGCGAGATTAAAACGTGAAAGACATAGGAAGCTTCATTTGAAGCTTTTTGAAATCAGCGCAAAATGGGCTTCGCACGTCTTTTGGTGACTAGATCTTTCGCATGCCAAACAAGAATAAACCGATTTTCGGTCTTCCCAATTTGTAAATAGCCAAAAGACCGTGCAAAAAAACATGCCAAACAACGCCTTAATATTTAATAATTAGGTATCATTAGACATCATTAGGCACCCCATAAAAAAAACAATAAATAAATACTTTAAATATTGAGAGAAATATTAAAATGAAGCTTTTTCCAAATGGTTGATTCACACAAGCTGATGAGACAAATGTTTATTTGATAAATCATTTTACCAAATAGCATTTCGGGATAAATGCGTATATATCCATGAGCTGACACCATTGTTTCAGGTGGAGGGAAACCATACCAAAGACCATCTTCTTTACTGTGCTTCTTATATGTGATGTATAATGGTACCTAGTTATCAAAAGCACAAAAAATACATTTATCAACCATTTTTTTTTCCTTTTTCAAGACAAATTCATACAAAATATTTAATTATTTATTAAATAAACATCAACAGTACAAACAATACCTTGATTGATGTCATTTTTTTTCTAATTGTCAGAAATGAAACAAATACACCAAGCCTGCTAAACTGAAGTTTTTTTCATTAGTCTGCACACTAATTTATTGGTAGTGGTTTACCTAAACGGATCCTAAGCTGATTTAAATGAAAACATCCATTGTCTGAACGGAATATCGAATGGGAAATTAATACGGGATGCTGCTAACAATTAACAATGATGATGGGTTGGGTGGTGGTGACTGTAGGTTAGAGTAAGCATCAAGGTGGTATCAGCTTCACCCGGTGGAGTGGTGGCTGCAGAATCAAAGAAGGCCGGAGCTAGTTGGGTCGTTTTAGACAAGTAATCTCACCAAAGTATTACTTTCTGTTCTTTATTGTTGTCACAGTTGTTGCTGGATTTGTTTAATCTTTTAGGATTTTGTTTTTTAATTAAATTTGCCTTTTATACAGAGTTACAAATCCTTAAATGGCATGAACCCCTTGAAATAACTCAATGAAAAATGAGACTCAATAGAAAATAAATTTCGGTCTTATACCAAGTTTGGAAGTACTTAAAAATAAGTATTTATTCAAATAAACATTTATTTTGGACCAGACTATACCAATAAGCACTTATTGGCGTTTTGAAAATAAACCTGAAATAAGAGAATAAGCACTTGTTCAGATAAGCCAAAATTTGTACTTATTTTTAAATGCTTATTTAATAATCACTTATTTCCTTTCTGCCTGTCTTGATTCCACATCATTTTGAAAATATCTATACTATCCCTATTTAAAATAAGTCTTTTTTTTTTTCAAATGCTCATGAACACTTCACTTATTTCTCAAATAAGAACTTCTAAACTTAACATTACACTCTATTAAAACAATTTTAAATAGTTAAAAATATATAAACCCTCTGTTTACAAAATATCGAAAATCAAAAGGAATGTCGTTTTTCTATAATCAGTACTCGTTTTTTTTTTTTGGGAAAATCTTCACATTTCTTTCCCTGTATGCATGTGTTTGTGTTTTGTCAGTCACAGACAGCTGAAGCAGGAAGAGAAGCATTGCATGGAGCAACTCCATTGCAACATTGTAGTGATGAGACGTTCTCAACCTAAAATACTCAGGCTCAAATTAGAAAGCTCATATGAAGTCCAACCCCCTATCTCTTCCTTCCCAACTCCAGAATTCGATGACGAGAAGTCGCCGGACGTCAGGATCAAGCACTCAACCCCTGTGAGCAGCCCCGAAGATAAGAAAACTTCCTTCTCCAGGACCACCAGCACCACCACCACTAGAGAAATTTGGGTTTCGAGTTCCAACAACAAAGGTGCTTCCCCTTTCTTTGAAGGTCTCAACAAGAGAAAGCCTGGATCTCTAAATGAACGAGTAGGCTCGGATAACCGTTTCATTGTATTTGACTCGGGCGGCGATGCTCTGATCTCTCTGTTTACAAATTCTACGCCATCGGCGGCTCGTAACCAGAAGAATGTCCATTGGGTTCCCGAAAGCCACACCGTCGATAAACGGAGCTCGACTATCAGAAACTACAAGAATACCCACAGCACCAAACCCCAGCCTTCTCGAGCACTGCTTGAAAAGTTCATTCAACTTGGCAGAGAATCATTCAGAGATAACCAAAGCCACCAAAGAGACTACGTTGTCAACTCCGACGTCAGAGGTGCAATGTCTTTGAGCAGAACATCTTCGGCACCTCCTCCTCTATGTTCAATATGTCAGCACAAAGGGCCGATTTTCGGAAGACCACCCAGATGCTTTGACTACAGAGAGCTTGAGGAAGCTACAGATGGGTTTTCGGAGGTGAATTTCTTAGCTGAAGGTAGGTTCAGTTTGGTTCACAGAGGGGTGTTGAGAGATGGTCAGGTGGTAGCTGTGAAGCAGCTGAAAGTGTCTGGGTTGGAAGGAGATGCCGATTTCTGTAGGGAAGTTGAGGTATTGAGTTGTGCACAACATAGGAATGTTGTGATGCTGATTGGTTTCTGTGTTGAGGATGGAAAGAGGGTGTTGGTCTATGAGTACGTCTGCAACGGCTCCATGGAATTCCACTTATACGGTAAACTCTTTATTTTTTCCAGTTTCTTCCTCTGCATATAAGCATATAAATAAGGATCTGTTTGGTTTGCAGGAATAGAGTATGGAATCAAAACCGGCAATTCCAATTTTAACTGTTTGATTGGGCGGAATTAGAATCCTATTTCTATTTCTTGTAGAATGGTATTCTCTTATTTGAAGGAATGAGGATTCCCTCCCCTCTCTTCCATTAGTTCTAATTAATTCTAATTCCCATTCCGGTTCCTATCTGAACAAACAGACTATAAAAACCAATCAATCCGATTCTAATTGACTGTGAATCAAATGGACCCTAAATCTATATGGGTGGTATTTATTAATGCAGAGAACCAAATGGACCCTAAACCTAAACCTATGTGGATGGTATTTGTCAATGCAGATAGAATGTATGTAGGGTCATGACTTAATGAAGGTGTCATATGGTAAAAGTTTCGTACTTTCTCAATGTGTGTGTTTTGTGCGCAGAAAATGAGAGCTCTCCTTTAGATTGGAACTCGCGTCTTAAGATAGCAATTGGAGCAGCAAGAGGTTTAAGATATCTTCACGAGGACTGCAGGGTTGGGTGCATTGTGCACAGAGATATGCGCCCGAGCAATATCCTCCTCACCCATGATTTCGAACCACTGGTACTTGATTTTGTTTTTTCTCTTGATTTGTTGATATGATTCTTGCTGGTTGGAAATGACTAAGGACCCGTTTGTTTTGCAGGAATAGGGGTTTGGAATCGGAATTGGAATGGGCTATTCCGATTTTAACTGTTTGGCTGGGTAGAATCGGAATAAAGACCCGTTTGTTTTGCAGGAATAGGGGTTTGGAATGGGAATTGGAATGGGTTATTCTGACTCTAACTGTTTGGCTGGGTAGAATCGGAATTCCATTCTCATTCCTACTAGAATGACATTCCCCCATTTGAGGGATGGTTATTCCCTGCCTCTCCCTTGTGAATGAAATTTTATTTCTGGTGATTCTAATTTTCATTCTCATTTCTGTCTGAACCAAATAGATTATGAGAATAGACCATTTCAATTCCGATTCTGAAAAATTTCGATTCTAATTCCAACTGCGAATCAAATGGACCCTAAAAGATTTTTTTTTCTATACTGTCCTCCTTTCATTGGCCAAAATTGTTATTACAAAAACTCGAGTATGAAGCCTGTGTGGCTGTGTATCCCAGCTCAGGCTTGCCATGTGCATACTAATACTTTGATCAAGTTGGAAAATAGTCCAAACATTAACGTCTAACCCTTTGATTTGTTAGGTTGGAGATTTTGGACTGGCCAGGTGGCAACCATCATGGGATATTGGTGCCGACACATGTGCGATTGGAACTCTAGGGTAATCACAATATTCAATCTCTCCGCCTGATACTTCTTCCCTGTATTCATAAAGAAAGTCTACATTTGTTTAATTATCAGTAACGCAAAGGCCCAGTTCGTTTTCACTTACTTGGCTAAGCAGAGTTTACTGGGCAAATGTGTCTTTTATCAGTAGAAGGATAAATAACTTATCCACCCTCGATGGAGGGGTAATTGATAGATAGATACCCTTGGAAAAATTCGATTACCATGGGACCAAGTATAGAAGCATAAGAACACAGGGATCGTGATCAATTACCTGATTGACAAACGATCGAGGCCAAAGGGTGGGAAGCCCTAAGAAACTGCTCAGGATTTCTGTTGCATTATAGGCATAGTAGGTAGCGGTTGCACCGTTGCACTAATATTCCAATACAAATTCAATTCCAGGTATCTCGCACCGGAGTACACTGATGGCGCAAAACTCACAGAGAAAGCTGATGTATATGCATTTGGCATGGTGTTACTAGAGCTAATTACAGGGCGAAGAACAATCGACTTAACTCGTCAAAGTGCGAATCAGTTCCCAGCAGATCTATCCCTCTCCATGCTGGCCCTAGAACAAAGCCATGCCTTAACAATTAATTATCAATTGCTGGATCCGCGCTTGGACTTGGACCAATTGCATAGTTATACTCATACATACCAGCTTCAAGCGATGGCTCATGCTACTTCATTGTGCCTATGCCGAGACCCAGAATTCAGACCTCCTATGTCGAAGGTAATGCTACAGAGTACAGACCAGACTGCCCTCCAATATGTAAAATTCCGTTTCTGACTTCCCTCTGTGCCACACACAACACTTTCGTCTCTGCCTCTCAGGGTGCGTTGGCCCATTATACTGACTAATTTTCATTTTGAATGATTAGATCCTAAGAATTCTAGAAGGAGATGCAATGATTCCTCTGGGTTCCGAGCTTGACTCAGTTGGCAGTAGAAGTGCACGAATGCATGTTCCAACTAAACTTCAACAAACTGAATCATTCAGAGGTCATTCTCGTGCACTTTCCCAGTAACCAAAGTGGGCTGTGGGCATTTGCGTTGGTCTTCATGCATGCGTTCTGAAGACGAATCACTCTTCCCACTATGTAGGCTACGAAAGCCAAGTTACAACGGAAAATCTCATCTTCCAAGTGAGTCTAATCAAATACGTACTCTTTAATAGCCTCTCTAATCAATCAATAGTCATGCTGGAATAAGTGCAGTGATCAATGACACGAAATAAAAACTGCTCTTCTTATTTTAAAAAATGGCAGGGAAACGTCTCACAGCCTCAGTCAGGACCCGAAAGATGGCAAGCATTCAACGACAATGTTTTCCATCCCCACGTGGAGAAGATTATTCAAGACTCCAAATGGATTTCAACTACAATGTTTTCCATTCACAGAATCAACGCCAATTTGATGATTTTAACCATTCAGCCCATCAGAACTCTTATGAACTTTAATGAAATGTATTTCCTATAAAATGTTAAATGACAACCGAAGAAATATGGTGGTTAAATGAGTTTTGCAAAGCAATAATTTTGTCATAGGAGATAATACTCAATCCCAAGGATGGAAGAGCATCCTTTGGTTCATCCCATGCCCCAAAATAGGGTTGTAATTGCTCGTGGAATGTAATTCATCTTTACTTTTCCTATACACCAATATATATACACTGGACATTGATAAACAGACCCATTTACAAGCTACTTCCATCTAGACATCAGTGAGAGAAGGAGCTTGCCTCAGTACTGTAATTTGATAGCTCATTCATACTTAAGTTCTCTCTCTCTTCATCCCACTTCAGAATCTCCTTTGCATATCTGAGAGCTTCATCAACGGTAGCAGGCTCCCATGCATTCGCTAGAGAAACATACAGCTTACGTCCAGTAAGAGAATTGAAGAGTCTCTTGAACTTTATGGCTATGTAGTAGAAAGCAAGCTGAGAGAGCGAGGGATTACTATTGACACTATTACTGTTTCTGTTGGAACTATGATGGCTTCTCACTGGATTGAAGTCATCAAACCACTCACATCTGGTTAGCGGGACCTGTTCAATCTTCTCCTCTAGCAGATCAAACTTGTTGAGTATCAGAAGAAATTCCATCTGATCAAAGGTTGGATGAGAGACGATGCTTTCAAAGAGCCTCTTGCTTGCCAACATCTTGTTCACAAATGACCCACTGCCATCATCACAGAATTGATCATAGTCGCTCAATGAAACACAAAAGATGACAAGTCGAATATCTTCAAACATCTCCAGCCACTTGCAATTTTCTCCGAGGCCTTTTGCATGTACTCTAATTAGTTGGTACCTGCAAATTACCAATCAATAAAATGTTAGCAAAGACCGATGATACATATCTGTTGCACAAAACCTAGAAATACAGATTCAAGTGGCACCCAAAGATGAAAGAAAAACAGAGACAAAGAGAAGCAATCAAAGAGGACACACAGATTTACGTGGTTCGGCTTATAGCCTATGTCCACCAGCAAAGGAGGAGAAGAAATCCACTATGTAATCTGTCATGGAGAGGAATACAGAGTTGTACACACAACTTCACTCACAGAAAACCCTAAACCCCAAATACATCCAAAGTCTCTCACTTCTCTCACAGACAAAAGACTAGGCATACAAGAGAGAAAACCCCCGAAATACATAGCTCTTCGTATTCTGTTTGGACCCATAAGCTAAATATGGATTGGGTCTGTACCTACCCTATGCTTCCACCAAAAACCACTATGAAATTTTGCCTTCAGGTTTTTCTCAACTTAATTCGGAGCGGGTTGCAACAAAGAATTCAAGGCACAACCATAACAATATCGATAAAATACTGTCAAAAATCTTCATCATCACCAAATAGAGGAAATTTGGGATGGAACTGGATCCACTTCAATCCTCACTTCCATTCTTTGGGACACTTCAATCCTCACACTTCCATTCTTTGGGAAGCCAACTTGTGAACTCTACTATTTAGCACCTAAATTAAATATGTTCCAAATGTGTGGGTGGAGGAGCCAAATTTTGATGGATCACAGCAATAGGATCTCAACAAATGCTAGTTCAGTAGGCATCTCCACTAATCATTTGCTCTTAGGCATCCAAAAGAATCTGATCAATTAGATCATCCAATGATTGGATGTTGGCTAAGAAAGTGTCCACTAGGTTATACCCACTCATGAAGTAGGTTTTACTATTCAAGCAGGAGCAACAATCAATTCATGAAGCATGGTCACCAACCTTAACAAGGAATCATTCTGATCAGCAGTCTCACTACCATCATCATTTGCTGACTTGGGGAACGAGAAATCCATGCAAGCAAGTCCATTAGATGAAGTTATCCCCTCAGCATGTAGAATGTCCTCATTGGTGGGCTCATAATCTGTTCTTGATATATCAACAACCTGCAGAGAAAGATAAATTTAGAAATCTAATGAACCTGCATCTACATAAATTATGGTTATGAGTTACAATAACTTGTCTCCCTACACTAAACTGATTGAAATTCAAATATGAAAATATGGGAGAAAAGGAACACGAAAACCAAATCAATCAACAAACCAGACAGACAAATTGAATGGTTAAAACTTTCTAAGAAGACAAAATTGCTTGAAGATCAGGATCAGTTTGTTCTCTGGATATATAGGATCTGCAGTGACCTTGGTCATTTAGGCTGTGTTTGTTTGTGGTGTAAAACCCCACCAAGGGAGTTTCACACCGAACGGTATAAAACCTCTAAACTGTTGAACTTCAAAAAACATGATTATTGATGTAATATTACATCGATTTTATCAATGTAGTATTTACATTGATAATCGATGTAAAACTCAATTATAAGTGAGGTTTTAGATCGACTTACGATGTAAAACTCCATTCCATCCAAAATGCCAACAAATCTGAACCGGGAGTGGAGTTTTACATCGATCTTGATTTACACTGCAAACAAACGCCAATAAAACTGAACCGGCGGTGGACTTTTACATCAATGAGGTTTTACACCGCAAACAAACACAACATTGATGTCAAAAGTGAAACTGAGTAACTAAATTTTCAGATTTTATTTCCTAATTTGGCTCCTTGTTCCAGATAGCTTTACATCTTTGCAAAGTCATGCCATTTTCTGACAGTTCATCAAAATTGCATCCCTTACCATTACTGGCAATGTACAACAAAGCTACATCAAAAGAAACCTCTCTGTAAGTTGCATCCCCAAGTGCAGTCAAGCCTCAAGTGATAGTATAGATCTATATGGGGTTATTGACTTTTTTTTTATCAATAGGGTTAGTGACATTTCTTTTCCCTTCTTTCTCCCCCTCAAATCAGACTGATTAGAAGAATGACTTTTCTGGTCCAGTTGGTTTTTAAGAAACCCAAACCTTTTCATGCATCATTTTTTATAGGTAACAGCTAATTGGTTTGAATAAAAGGATTCTGTACATATCCAAGATTTAACACCCCTTTACTGGTCCACTTGGTCAGTCTCAGCCACCCAACCCTTTATCTCGTTATTATTTCTTCAAGTTGATCTTACAAGGTTCACCAATGGTTGAATGTGGCACCCACCTATATGCACTCCCACTCTCCCAGCATTCTTGTCATTTCCTTAATGTATCCACCTTTCAGGTTTCACTGACTCAAAACAAATTTGACTTGGAAGCTCAGAATAGAGATTTTTTTGATTGGTAACATCTATACATTTTATGGACATCCATAACATAATTAATAAAGTACAAAGGGAATATGTGCTTAGCACCCACCAAGATTTCATTCCCCACTACACCTCCCATCAGAATACAATGCTATTCAATCCCTTAAGCCTTCACTAAACCCAAGGAAAAGGCAAGCACCAAGCAGATCGCCTCTCAACATTCTTATTGATGTTGTCTCAATGCAGAGTCCCCAAAACCTATGATAGTGGTATCACAACTATGTTTTGAAAACCAATTGGTCTAATCACTTTCATGATTCAGCAGCTCAACCTGTGATTTCAAATGCCATCATAGATACAGTACCAAAAATAGAAAAGAACTAGATAGGGAACAAAAGGAACTTTTTTGTCTTTTGATAAGCAAAAGCTCTCGGAGGTTGTGATGTGTGAAGAAATCAATGGATCTATAGTAATCCTATAGGCGAATATGTTTTATGCTGTTGGCCCATTGACAACTGGGTGATTCTTTTTTACTAGATTTCCTTATCCTGTATAAATTACTCTCTATAGGCTTTACAGACTTTCCCTTCTCTTTTACATAATAAAACAAAATTGCATTAAAAGAAAAGAAAATAGGTGTAAAAGCTCTGTACAGGCAACAACCCAGATAGGCAAAAATAAAGACACTAAATATAGCTGGGAGCAGCATACAGAAAAATCCAACCCTGCACCAAAAATCTCCTATACATGAACCACCATACAAAAGGCACCTACCCAAAAATCAGCTCCAAAGGACCCTTCCACAGAAAAAAAAAAAAAAAGCAAAGAGACCACCACCCTTCCCTAGATCCACTTGGATCCAACTTCCCTCTATGGCCTCTCCATCTTGGACTTGCATTTGGAGTTCACACCTTTTCTTCTTTAGTATAAATGCATATTTTCAATCAGAAAAATAATGTACATTCATTAATGTAAACCAAAAGCAAATATACAAAATGATTGTATGCAGAGGGATACACAATAATACCATAGCCTAAAATTATCAATATATATCATAGCCTATCTGTATGTAAATGTTAGTCCCACTCCCACCCCACCTATCTGGGGTCTTAGGAGGGGTGGACTGGATACAGACCTAACCATAGATCTTATAAGCTTGGGTAAATAAAAGAGAAGATAAAGAGAATAGGGGAAAGTGGCATGAATCAAGTTTTGAGTAAAAGTGACACCAGTCAAGTTTGTAAGATTGGCATTCCAATTTGTGTAGATTCACCACTGTATTCAATTTCATGGAGTTTTAAAGATGCAGGTTTTTACTATAACAATTTGAGCAAGTCTGTTCTTACTTTCGCCACTAGGTTTTAAACATGCAGGCATTCAGTTTTAGTGCTCACTACAAAGCAATGTTGTACTATTATGTTTAGCTTTGTGTCCAATATCCACTATTTTGAAGTGAAGATCCCAGAATGTGTACCAAATGGAAAATGCCCAATTAGAGAACCAAATCTCTGGAGTGGTCAAGTATATCTGTTAGGAGATAGCTTGCTTGTATGAGCAGTATATCAAAATAACAATAACAATAACAATAATAATAATAATAATAAATAAATAAATAAATAATGTTACATATCAGCACCTTTCTGTAAATTTGAACCCATGACGAGAAGAAACATAGTTACAAGGAGAACCATCAGATGCGGTGAATAGAAACAGGAGATTTAACAGGAAACAACATTATAAGCATAATCTGCCTAAAATTGCAATGCAGATAAAACCAGCAGAAGAATAAAACATTAACTTACATGCTCCAGGAAATAACTAGCAACAACAGGTAGCATTTGCAGTTCACTTCTCCGCTTGTATGTGGCCTGAATTGCTGTATCCTTCCACAGCTCCTCAACCAATGGTGCATATTCTCGAGTAGCAGCTGGGAAAATGGCTTCCAAATTACCTGACACCATAACCTTGAGAAGCCAATCGGAGAATGCTTTCAACCTTGGACCAATGGAATAGATAGTTTTTTCTTCATTCTCCTTGACATTTCCTGTTGTTAATTAGATTTCACTTTCAGATTCCTCGGTATAAGCAAGACATCAAATCAAAGGTCTAAAACATGCTTTAAGTTAAAGTTGATTTTAAAAACTGACTACAAGAGATACTCCATAAATCAACTAAAACAACAGAAAAAAAAAATACTCCATTAAAAAATTCAAACACATAGGAGGGGATGGGGCTAATTCATCATCCCTACAAGGGGCAGGGGAAAACGCATTAAATATACACAGAAACTAAAAGTTCGAGAAACCATAGTAAACACGTTTTGTGGAACCTAGTATCATTTTTTATTTGCTGGGATTTGTTCAAGGAAAAGAACCATGGTATTTTTGAGCCAAGTAAACGTGATCCAAGGAAAATACAATTACAGACAGATGACCTTTTATAGTATAAATATTGAAAGATTTTCACGTCTTCAAATTTAAGACCTTTTGCAGACATTGGGAACAAATATTTTTTATTCTTCTTTTGATGCACAAAAAGATATACATGTAACTACAAAAAAAGATGTACATGGTTCTTAAACTTTAATAATTTAAAAAATAGTAGATGCATAATTCATTAGAAATAGTTGATGCCTAATATGTGAAAATTGCATAGTGCTTTAAGAGTGTACAAACAGCAAAGGAGTTTGGGGGCCACATAATAGTAGATAAATAAAGTAAACCAGACCAACACTCTCAGAAACCAGTAGTGGTGGATGCATAAGTAAAATAATTGACGTCTTTTATGTGAATTTCACTTAAGTCTCCGCTTGGTTTGTGAAAAACTACCAGGAAACATGGAATATTCTTAAAAGATTCCATTTTCCCATGCTTCTTTAGCGAGATATAGGTGAATGGAACAAGAAAGTTGTGGGATGTAACTTCTCAAGTTGGGATGCAGGATCGCACCAAAACGGTGCAACCCCAGTGAGAAAGGAAAGTTGAGAGAAGATTTTGTGGCTTGTCAGACCCTTTCACTCTCGAGTTAAGATGCAGGAGCTCGGACTGGAAATCCCGTAACCTTTGAGAGAGAGCTTAATGCAGGAGGTGAAGAATCAAATTTGGAATTTTCTGTATTTCTGCATATTTGGACAGTATGGGTATTTTCGTCATTTTGACCAGTCCCATGTGGGCTTGCTGTATGGAGTGATTCCTACAAACCCTAGAGTGATTCTAGGACCCTTGGAGTGACTCCTTGGGATCTCTCTCTCTCTCATGATAGTTTGACCAGTCCCATGTGGGCTTGCTGTATGGAGTTATGGAGTGATTCCTACAAATACTAGAGTGATTCTAGGACCCTTGGAGTGATTCCTTGGGATCCCTCCCTCTCTCTCTCTCTCTTTCTCTCATGATAGTTTGTTCTAGCCCTACTGCATCGGAGCTCTCCTTTTCTCTTCCCATTATATTTTGTTCTTTTCTGCTACATCTTTTTTCGCCAACCATCCAGCTCATTGTGGTTCCTAACTGCACCGCCTTAGCCCCTTCCACTCTCAAAGATACTTCATCCATTCTCATTGAATATTGATGCCTGAAACCTCAAAATCAACCTACAATGAAAGCATCAGGTTTCTCTCTCATATTCTTCATTTCCTGCTTTTTATTATCTTCAGTTGCAGATCTGACCGAATAAGATTTTACAGCATTCAGTCGGTCAAGTCAAGCAATGAGGGAACCCCCTCTATTTCTGTGCTTCATTTTTTCTTTTCTAATCAGGAGGTTCAGGTAGTGTTCAATCAGCCTTAGTGTTGTGCTGATTTGAGCACTGAATCATTGAAAGCACGGTAGTCTGAATCACAGAACCAAGTACCAGAACTGATTCTCATTTGGTTCTAACATATGAAATTTACATAGTTTTCTTTAACGGTAAATCACATAAACTGATGCTTTGAGTCTAATTCTGCAAGTATCTAAACTGATTCCCATTTAATTCTATCTTGCTTCATATTAAATACAGTCTGAAAACTCTATGTTTAATCAGTTCTGTTTATGAGGGCATACAATAGTACAGATTTGGGTTGTGCTCTTTCAAAGTAATTTTAGCAATTAGTGCTTGATTGCTTCAATGGAACCAATTTTGTTCTCTTCTCATTTTGGTATGGATTGGTGGTTGTAACTCTGTTCCCTGCTTGTTTTAAACTTTGTTTTTATGTAGTTTGTTCCAATGTATTTTTCTCAACATTTTTTCACAAATCAAACATAGGAAAGGAATATTCCTACTACTCTCCATTTCTCCCTTGTCTAACCAAACAATGGAAGATGAAGAATTCACACTTTCTCATGCCATCCCATCCCACCCAAATCTTCCCACAAACCAAATGGAGGCTAAGAGATTGATTTTAGAGTTTTAAGGTTTTATATACTTCTTCAGGAAAGTTTCCCTTACAAATTATTCATTCAATTTACGAAGAATATGTCTGTGAATCAATATATATATATATATATATATATATATTGATAAGTAGTTTGTGAAACAACATATTGAACAATGAGCATACAACATCTGCGTGTCCTTGACTAAAATACTGAAAAAATAAAATGGATAACTTTAAGATTAAAAAACCAAAAGGAAAAAGACAATAGTTCCATACCAACATCATCAAACTGATCAAGGGATTGCTTTTTCTTCATTTCATCCAGGCTTTCTTCCTCAAAACGTTCACATCCCTCAAGCAATATACCAAGATACTTATATACATTGCTCTGGATCATCAACTTAATATCTTGGCGCTCATCCTCTGAGAAAGGGATTGGTTTGTTATACAAAATCTTGGCCTGAAATAAGAACGTAATGACTCAGGCTGCCAGTTCCTTAAGTTCAGGGGAAAAGGCAAACACAATGCATCATTCAAGACAAAATTTTTCATCAACATAGAAGTGAACACTATTGACTTGAGTCAGCCCCTTTAAGATTTCTTGGTTCATTAATACTGTAGGCCAAATTGTTTCAAGCAATAATTACTCTCTTTTTTCTACAGAACATAACACCACCCACATAAATTATGGACATCTTCAGATAGCTAGTTAAAATCCATTAGAAAAATATGAGAAAACCACCATAGCTTTTTTTATGAGTAAAATCAACATAGTTATTCTCAAACTTCAACTTTTTATATTTCATAAACTAGAAAAACAATGTTAGAAAGGATTCTCCACTGAGTATAGCTGTATTCAAGAAGTGCTTTTATATCAGCTCTATACCCAAGAAATATGTCTTGCTAATTTTTGCAAGGAAATAAAAGTTAACGCATCTGTCATTATAGATGATGCCAAAGTGGGTAATGAACTTGATTTAAATAGCAATGCTTGCAGCATTGCTATTAAGGAATTTGGTAGTAACAAAAACTAAGTTTTTGTTTTTTTCCTTTTTGTTCTTCTATTGGTACAAGAAGATAATAATTTGATCAAGGTGGTTAAAGCCTCTGATGGAAACAACATAAACTTGACCAGGAAAGAAAAAGACACCTCAAGAAGCGACCCATGAAGAAGTGCTGGTGGTACCCATATGTAAGGTTGATTTGCCGGTGGCTTTTGCTAATTCTAAATTTTTAATTGGGTTTTATTTGACTAATTTACATTTAATGTTTTCAATTCCTTGGTTATATGGAGTCCAATAGCAATCCTTTACTTGACCTTCCGCCAAGCCACAGAACACCCAAAAATACAGTTCCATCCTCTCAGCTAAGTGATCTTCATTCCTTTTGTTGGTAAGGATCACAAGGTCTGGTCTTCCTAGTCTATGCTACTTTTCTCTTTCTATATCTTTCTTCATAGTGTTATATAAAGTTTCCAAAGAAACGACAATCTCCCTTTGCAGCCAATTAGAAGCTAATGACCCTACCTAAGTTTTGCTGATAAAGGGAAAAAAAACACTACCTAAGATTAAGGCTTTTGATTGGAGGTCACCACATAAAAGATCAATAGCAGTAGCATGTTTTGGGATACAAAAGGACAGTGATAAATCTCTTCATGTATGTCCAACATGCAAGGCAGTTGGGGAACCAATGAAACTTCACTTCATTATTTGATTCTTTCCTAGTGATAGCTTGCCAGTGGTCACTTTATAAATATATATTCAGGATTAGATAGGTAATCCTAAGGACATCTTAATTTCTTGTGGTGCCAGCCTTGGGGCATTTGGTAAGAGGGGTCTGGATAAGTGTGCCTCTTGCTTCCATATGGAGCATCCGGGAGGAAATAAATTCTAGGATCTCCAAATATAACCATGATCCTTTTCAACTTGACCTTGATAAATCATCAAGACGCACTGCAACCAGCAATTATCTCTTGATGAATCTATGGACTCCATTGCAAGAGGCCAATTTTCCAAGCCTAGCCCTTTAATTCATTGTCATATCTCTTCCTTGGTGATTTAAGCAATCATAATTTAACAATGGATATGGCACTAAAGTGAATGGAATAGGAAATTTATGTAGCTGATCCCATATAGTTGGGACAAGGTTTAGATGATGATGATGATCTCTGCTTTGGTCTTGCCTTAATTGGACAGCATTGAGCTTAACTTTTATGGTTACTTGACTGACAGACCAGGACAACAGAGTAATGCCTGGGCGGGACTAATTGTGTTTTCTCTAGTCCCATTAACCAAGGTCACTTGATTAGAGATAAGAAAGGCCCCTCTTCAAGGTCCAGAACTTCTATTTCATCTTTAAAAATTCCCACCCATTTTGTTGATAATAAAATTATTTTAAAGATTAGGCAAGGAGAAATGAGGATGAGCAGCATATATTAAGACAGTAATGTCCTACAAAAGACAATGAACCCCAAAACCATCCAGATCAACTGCATAAAACAACAAAAAGGACTGATGCAGACAATAAGCAATGAAACGTTCAACAATTGATGCAAGGATAGCCTCGGAATATTGTAATATGAATTTAACATCTACAGAGGGGTCTGTCCTCAGTAGACTTCTCTCCATAAGTCCCAATGAATGGATGAATGCCAGAATTCAAATTGTGTAAGAAGCTCTTATGCCACATTGCCACTTCATGGTGGTGATTTATGGATTGCTACTCTTGAAAATATAAGTTCTATTAACCAGTTAGAGCCTGATTTAAGGTTGCACACTTGCAAATCATGAGATAATGAAAAATAAATAATAAAATAATAAAAAGAAAACTAGATACAAGTAGGAGTTACCTGTTTAAATATAGTGCTTGTCCCACATCCAGAATATCCAGTTAAAAGAATCTTTTGGAGTGCTCTATGCTCAAGGTAGTAAGGAACAGGTCTGTTGACAAGATTGTTTACTTCTTCTCCACAAGGATTTGTAGTTTTAGAAGGAACGGGTAGAGACAGTACAGCACAGACAAGTTTCGTTCCAGCCTGAGAAGTACACCACCAAAAAAAATGAATAAAACTAGGAAAAGGAATAAGGAAAGAGATAGACATACAAAACCATGTTTAGACTGAACCTTTCCCCATATATGCCCTTTTATGTTCTTCTGTCCCTCTTCCTGGTAAGATCCATCTGCATTCACCCAGAAGTGAGGGTTCCCGGCACATTGGACTCCTACCAACTGCAAAGGTTAATAGAGCTTTGCTTAGTTTAACTATTGTTGAGTCAAGCTAGCCAATATCAGCATGACAAAATTGCGTCCAAGAAAAGAAAACCTGAAGCATCCGCAATTCTGATTTGGTAATCTCTCGGTTATTTATGAAAACCTTTGTGTTTCCATTGCTAGCATTTGCCGAAATGGTACCCCCAACGTTTAGATTGGGGCTAATAATCTTGCATGGCTTTTGTCCCTCCTGTAAATTTCAGTTAAAAGATATAATTACAAAATATGCAATGCTATTTACAAAACCAACATAAAGGTCAAAGGAATTCCACGCTTACCCTTCCCCAAAACCCAGATACTTTATCGTACCAATATCTTCCTGGTTTTAGCTTCTTAGGTGGGTTTGGGCAGCTTTGCAATAAAACCAACTCCTCTGGACAGAGCCTCTGCCCATTTACATAAATAAGATCTGCCTGTAGCTGATTCGTTTCGCATGACTTCTCAGCATTCATAATCTGTTGAACTTCCAACTCATTAAGCAGCCTTTTGAGCATTCGAGAGCATCTACCCAAGCTCTCACGCTTTGATTCATCAATAGGTAACCCAATGCAAGTGACACATTTCCTTCCTTCTGGCATTGATCCCATTGCTCTTAGCACACAGTTACTGCAATACTTTTTATTGCAAACAATGCAGGCCTCCTTATCCGTGAGCCGATTACCTTTGGAACAGCGATAGCATGCTCCTTTCTTTGTCTTTGTTCCAGGTCCTCTCTGTTCTTGGATGACTTGACCTTCGCCAGGACCAAATTCCTCATTTACTGAATCATTTGATTCAGCATCAAGAAACGTTACAATTGATGTTCGTTTGGCATGACAATCGGGATCGTTATTGAAATCATCACCCTTACTGGAAGAAATCTCAGAGGACAGAAAATGAGAGCTCTGTATCGACTCGGTGGAGCCCCAATCTGGTGGATTGATGTCATTTAGAAAATCTAAGCTCTCCTTGCAATCACCGGAAGGCCGCAGTGCACCTGAGCTACATGATGATTCATGTGATTCATCCCGGTTATTACAACACCCTAATGAACCCGAGACTCCTATTCCTCCTGATAACTGGGGGGAACCTTCATGGCCATTAGATAAACCCAATGTGCCCGAGCCATCATCAATCACGTCAGATAATTCACAGGACTGGTCATGGCCATTCGAGAAGGCCAGCGTGCCCGAGCCATCATCAATCACGTCAGATAATTCACAGGACTGGTCATGGCCATTCGAGAAGGCCAGCGTGCCCGAGCCATCATCAATCACGTCAGATAATTCACAGGACTGGTCATGGCCATTCGAGAAGGCCAGCGTGCCCGAGCTACTAAATTCACCGGACAGTCCGCAATCAGGACCATCTCTATCTCTCTGATCAAAGGTGATGACGGAGGTCGGAGAAACAATCTTGCGCGAGCCTTGGATTAGTTCTTTGGGGTGCTTCTTGCCGGAAGGATCCGGAGCAAGGAGTGGCTGGACAACCGGCAAGGACAGCTTATCTGAAAGAGAGGAAGAGGCGACCACAGCAGCGGTAGGAATCCGTTTGATGTCGATAGGGACAGCACGTGGGAGATCGTAGGTAACAGGAGGGCCGTGGTATTCCATAGCAAACGAATACTCGACCTCATCCTGACTGTGAGGGATCGGAACCCCAACGGGCAACATACTACTAAGAAGCCCCTTCATAGTTTTGCCTTACAAGCAGTTCAGCTGAGCTTTACGGAGAAACCCTAGCCGTAAATTCCAAACCCGTATAAAGCATCGAAGACAGCTAAAGGCTTCGTTTCTCAATCTTCGAAGCTAAGGAGGAGGCGCTCCAGGGAGGAGAGTTTTCTCTTTGAAGCTCCTCCATTTCTCTGTCAGTCTTGTTCAAAGAAAGACCCAAATTCCAAGCCTAACCCCAATAGAAGAAAAGCTAGATCCTAATGTCTGATGAACTGAATATTGTCGATGATTGAAAAGACAACCTCACTGCGAAACTCGGCAACAAAATTAAACAAAAAAGAAAAGCAAGTAGGAGACAGTCTATTCTTCTCTTACCGGTTAGAAGGAAGACGAAGCAGCGGAGAAGAGAAGAGAGGAGTCAGACGAAGGAGAGAAAGACTGAAAGACGGTAGTAGTCCGAAGCGGTTTTCTGACTCCGCGTGAGAGGAAAAATGTTTTTCAAGGAGTGGGGTTTGAACGAAAAAGACAGCACGACGCAAGAGAGAGAGAAAACCGAAAACCCAAGCTTAGGGGTTGAGGTGTGGAATCTACTTTTCATTTTCCGCTTTTTTATTTATTTTAATAAAGAAAGAAAATAAATTTAGCGGGTTTTTCCTTTTCCCGATGAAATGGAAAGTATGACGTGGCGGACATGTCGGATCGAAGGGTCTTTTGTTTTTGTCTTTTGTTAATTCTACTTGGGCCTGTGAATCTGTCTGTGACTCCTGTTTGCAGCTCGAAACTCGGAACTCGGAGGCCGAAGCACAACAACAACAACAACAACGTCCTTGGAATCTTCACTTGAGTCGTCTTCCTCTTCCACTGCAGTTGCACTCTCAGCTGCTAATTACTTACATTGTCCGGTTGTCTGTTATTATTATTATTATTTTTTTATCTCGTTTCATCTCAATGAATGAGGTTTTAACGGTGTAAAGATAAGTAGACAACAAAACATCTACTGATAACGCTACCCAGTTCTAACACGTGTATCAATCCGAGATGAATTCAATGGAGGACCCTACACACGAGTGAGACAACTGGCTTGGCGTAATTCGTAAGATTGTCAACTAGGGTGGTGTTTGGAATGGATGCTATTTTCGCAGAAAATATTTTCTCAGTTATTCTATTTGGTATCATTACTATTGCTGCCTTATACTCATTTTCAATGTTGCATTAGCACATTATTACTAACAATTAGACCTGTTCATGGGCCAGGCCGGGCCGGGTTTTCATTTGTCACTAATGAAAATATATTAGGCCCGAGCCCGAGCCCAGCCCGACCAACGGGCCTATAACATGGGCCCGAGCCCGCCCCTGGTAAAAAGCCCAAAACCCGAGTCTGAGCCCGAAGCCGACCTAATTGAAAAAAAAAACAATTTTTCCTATTCAAATTAGAATTAAAAATTCATATAGTATTTTTTTTCTATTTAGATGAACAATGGGCCTACAAGATGGTATTTTTCCCTTTCTTTTATATTTTAAAACACAATTTTACATTCTTAAATCAAAAAATTTATTCAAATGGACATAATCACATAACTAATTTTAAGTTTAATATTAGGTCGGACCGGGTTATTTTGACAAAACCCGAGCCCGACTTTAAGCCCGTGGGCCTATAAGCATGTTCAAGCCCGTCCGGGGGTCGGGCCAGGCCGGGCCGGCCCATGAACAGGTCTACTAACAATGGTAGAAAAAAATGGGAAAGCATCAACTCATACTACACATTTTCCGATTTCCCAGGCTGTCTGAGAAAACGTTTTTCAAAAAAATGGTTTATCAAACGGCAAACATTTTCTTAAAAAATGGATTTCTAATATGGCACCATTTAAAAATATATATGTTTTTATAAAAAATTATAAAATGTAATATAAACATATTTATAAATAAATAACGTATATAGGAGTGATTCAAAGTAGACTCGATTTCCAATCAAACCCTGTTATCTCATACAATTCAATCCAAAAATCCAACAGGGATTATTTGAATCCGATAAAAATAAAATTGAATTCAAATTAAATTAAATCGAATCATGATCCGATCCATTTGTTCTCTTAATACTTTTTATAAGGGAAGGTGGTAGGCAAAGCCTGAAAGCTAGATGATACCATTGTCATCCCCAAAGTTTCCTTTAATTGGGGGAAAAATGAACAGCCAATGGCAACAACTGTGTAAAATAGGTGGCTTTTATGTGCAGTTGGAACCTTGGATGGGTGAGGGACCCACTACTAAAACGCTAGGTGTAAGAATATTATACTAGAATTAGGGTAATGCTAAGTTTCCATTCATGATATATTGCTTTTGATTATTGAGACATAATAATAATGTTGCAAAAGTTGATTTGGATAATAAATACTTAAGTAGGCAATGCCAAAAGTTTAGCCGCAGAGATTGCCGAAATTGGTGGTGTTTGTTTGAATGAAACCGCGGCTATCTTTTATCGCTACTGAGTTTCAGAAACGCATCTATCATGGTATGGTACATACCAGTGTAATTTGGGCCAGGTAATAGTGACGGATCGGATCCATTGGAATTCAGCAGGGGATAATATCCGATCCGATCCGGTAAAGAATTCTGAATTTCTGATCGATTCGAACTTGATAAACATCCCTTGGATTTTTAAGATTATGATTTGAAAGGGCCTATTTTTCTTTTAAATCAAACATAGCCTAAACCAATTGATTTTTTCTATCCGATCCGATTTGTTATAAGGGTATCTAAATCCAAATCTTACTAGATTGAATTCAGATTAAAAACGGATATAATCTATTAATCTAACTTAAGTTACAGCCCTACCAGGTAGGCCATGGCTCGTGGAGGAGATGAGGAGGCTATTATGTTTTTTTCTTTCTGTTTTTGTTCTCTTTTACCAATAACCGTTGCGTTTGTTTCGTTCAACAACCAAGGATTACAACAGCATTCAATCTAGAATTAGCTTTTCAGAATAATGGGTTAACTTACACATATCACCCTGTACTTATGGCTTGTGACACTTAGACCCCTGAACTTTGTTTTAAAACAAAAATCCCCTATAATTTTATATCTTATCATTTTCTCATGCATTGAAATTCAACAATGATGAGAATTTTGAATTATTTAGGAAAAATTGTACATTAGTACCCTATACTTTGGGTTTAGTCTCACTTTGGTCTCCGTACTCATCTAGTACCTAACCTTTTAAAATATGCCAATTTAATAGTTACTGTTAACCAGTTGTTAAGTGGCAAGTAAAAGGGCACGAATTCCCTTTGGGTATTATCTAATTTTTTTTATTAACCAATTCTTCGCACTGGTTCTAATACATAGAAGATGATGCCAGAAAAGGAAATATCACTGGAAAGCTGTCCATAGAATGTCATACTCAATTTATTTTGTCAAAAACCAATCTGATAGAGAAAAATAGTTGTTAAAAATCAATCTGATAGATCGATATTGCTTTGGTTTAATATTGTTTCTTGAGGAAGAAAATGATGAACATTATTTTATTTCAAAGGGTAATTTTAACATTTTCAAAAGTTTTCAGTTGCACATGTCATCACATGATATAGATAATTGACGAACTACTAACAGTAGGGACTAAATTAGCATATTGTGGAAGTTTAGGTACTGGATTGACACGTTTTGAAGTTTGGGGACCAAAGTGAGACTAACCTTTCAGTTAGTGGTTTCTGTAGAGGGTATGGGTCACTACTAGCCTATAATTAAAAGAAAAAAGTAGGATTACACATGTTCGAAAAACCAAGTTAGATAAAAAGTGTTTGACTATGACATCAGAAATACATGTATAGGAAAAATTCACAGCCAATCAATTCGTAACATAAAAAAGATGCCCAATCAAGAGGTATTCATCAAAATTCACGAAATGCTTTGATTGGTCAAAGCTCTTTTGGTACCATGTCTTTCTAGTATCATAATTTTTTCCTAAATAAATCATCTTAAAAAATAATGTAAGGATAGTTTGGGGTTTTAATAATGTATAAACCTTCAAATAATGGTCAAAATGAGAATATTCCTTGTGGTTAACTAATGGAACGATGGCAACAAGGGTCAAAGTGTTAAAATCTAGAACTAAAGAGAACAAATATTGAGGGCTATGGGTCAAGACCCCCTAAGTAATGGGTGGGTGCTTATAATTTACCTTAAATAATAAATATTGTCTACTATAGCCTCTTTGAATAGTTTACTTGGAGTGCTTCAAATTTCAAAGCAACTGAAGTACTTAGTTGAATCTTCAACTCAGCCCTCTCAAACCGGCCCTAAAGCACTCCAAGTAGGCTATTCAAAGTGGTTGATGCGGATAACCCTTTAAAATTCAAATGATTGGACACTAAAAAAATTTCACTAAACATAGCTTAAACCTCTCATGAGTTTTCTAACAATATTATAATAAACCTTCTAGGTGTTTTAAGTTTTTTAAGCCTAACAAAAACCTCCCATTATGTTCTGAAAAAGGTGTAGTTAGTTTTCTAAATGGAAAATGCTGACATATGCATTAGTTTTTTTTTTTTTTTTATATCAAATTTACTCTTGACCAATTTTGTTGAAATGTACATTTACTAAAATACCAAAACAGAACATTATTCAGTCATACCGATGACTTGAAACATAGTAAAAAAGATGCTCTAAGGCTGCTTCTAAATCATCAATTAATAATGACAAGGAAGTCGAGGTAAAAATACGATTGATGCAGCGGTTGACTATATGAGTTCATGTAATGTATTAATCAATGTTTTAAAAACCGATTTAGATATGTTATATGTATTATTTTATATTTATTATATGTTTTTTTAATTTTTTATTTATAAAAATATTAAAAATTAAAATTTGAGGCCAAAAGGGGTTTTTCCTTAAAAATAGCAAGGCACCTTGGGATGCATAGATCTCAAAAAATTACCCAAAACCAAAAAAGAAAAAAATCACCCCAATCGGACATCAGAGTGCAAAGTAATGGCCTTTGAAAGTTTGTATGTATTCAGTGTGCAACTTGCGGCCCGATCATTAGGTTGAACGGGTTAATAGTCGAGCCGACCAGGTTGAATAGTTCTTGACCAAGTCAACGGTTTTTTACTGTATTGATGGGTCTTGATTCAACTAGACCCAGAATCCTGACTGGGTGATGGTTCAACTAGCCGGATCAACAACAGGTTGAAAATATTGGTATTAATGATAATAAGGGCATTTTGATAAATTCAACGTTTCTATCCAACGAGAACTAAAGGAAGGGATGTATTTGCACTTTTTTCTTCAAAATGATGGTATAGGTTTTTGCTATAGTTAAAAGTTAAAACACAATGGTGATTTATGGGATTGTCATGACACATAGGGTAGGCTTGTATAATTTTCCTACATCTGAGAGGAGAGGGATATGACATGAGATGGTAGTGAGATCGGATTTCATCCTCACACAGTCCTCACAACACCTGCAACCATGCATTAGGGTTTGGGGATATCTCCATACTTGTATGTTTTTATTCATGGGAAGATGTCTACAATACATGAATGCAAGCATTGTGAGGACGAAATACCTACCATATTGTACCAATAATATGAAAAGAAAAATGTAGAATGATAGTAGGAGAAGCTAATTTACTAGAATTTCCTTTTTTAAAGAATGATGAATCATGTTATATTGCATCTTGACTTCAAACTTTCAATACTGCATTTGTTTATGCTCAGTTTGGAAAGAATACAAATGCAAATATGTACAGTATAAATACATAAAAAATATAAAGTTTTGCACTCTACATATTTGCATTTGTACTCCTTCCAAACTCAGCCTTAAGAAGGGAAACAGGAACTCTTTGTAAGTGACACTTATAGGCTTCCGGACATGCATTAATGGTTTGAACTTTATGTAAACACTTACAACGGATGAAAATCCCATTTCTAGCATGTAGAAAATGCAAAATAATTATAAGAGGGAGAGGGAGATTGCCTCCCATCATTACCAATTTCCGTATTCTAAGCCAAAATTGAGGAAGAGCAGTGATGGACTCTTTCTAACTTGTGCAAAACTTATATGTAGGAGAGTTGGGACCTTTCCCTACTTGAAGAGTTACAAAAGCCTTTCCATTAAGGACTCCTCTTTTCAAGGCTCCTGGTTTATCCTAGGCTTGTCAATGATGCCTGAAAACTCGAGGCCCAATCCAACATTCGATTTGATTATCTCAAATTCATATAATATATTTATGTAACTAGATGAGATTTGGATGTTGTAATCTACATTCGATTAAACAATTGGATTAGATTTGACCCCATTTGATCGGATTAAAATCCGAATCCGATTATATTATAATATTTATTGATTTTAATATATAAATTTTATATAATTATATTTAAAATTATAAATAAATCTATTCTATATATTACAATATATATATATATATATATATTAAAGTCAGTATGTTATATTTGTATTAATTTATTATATATAAAAGTTAAAAAGTAATTAAATTTTTAATTTTTTAGTAATAAAAAAATTAAAACAGAGTCAAATTACATCTGAATCTGATCCGAATCCTTTAAGATTCAAATTTAAATATAAGGTCTTCAAATTCAATCGGATTTCGGATCAAATTCGGATGCGGGTTTCAGTGATCGGATTGGATCCGGATTTTACTAAATCCGATCCGAGTCGGATTTGATTACAACCCTAATTTATGATTTATCCTTTTTTTTTTTTTTGACAACTCTCCTGAATTGTCTATTTTATAATAATTGTCGAATGTACATTGTAATTTTGAAAAACCACCACTGATTGTATGAGAAACAATATATCTAATTGAATTCTTGAATGCATTAACAAGAATCATAAAAATCATTTCACCATCTATTCGATATAAGACCAGACATGGTTAACTTGGAAGTCCATAAAAACTAGCTCGATATTTATATGCTTTGACCTCCCTATGCTCTTGTTCTTTAACAAGTATAACTAGAGTTGTTATAGAAAATCACAAGTTGTAATTGCCTACTTTGGATAATACTATAATTAGAGAACCTTTATATAATAACAAAAATCTAAGCCAAAGTTCTTATATATTCTGATTGTATTCATAATATGGACAAGAGTTTTGACTATACAATACAATTCCATAAATGCAAACAAATCCAACTCGTATACAGCATCCTCCTCAATCCTTGAGAAGAAAACAGAAAAAAATGAAAAAAAAAATACAAATATTACATTTTTCCACAGTTTATCAAGGAAATAAATTCTTATTTAAAAATTCCCCCGGCCCATCATCATTCTCAGCACTCCTTCACTTTCATTTTCTTAACAATTTTAAACCGGCATCATTATATTCATATTTAAATTTTTAAAATAATATTAACAAATAGAAAAAAAAAAAGAATATATGTTTTCCATCGAACTCTCACCCTTCCTTCTCGTGTCACGTATCGTCAAATTGAGGCCGCTTTTGTACGAGTTGATATCTACTGCGTGCGAAAGGCCTTCTACGACACGTGTCAATGGAACAGTAATTAATGTAACAGGTAAAAGAATCGCCTCTGCTGCGGAGTGCGGTCCGCCATTTTTAGGATACGCTTCTTTTCATTGATTCACTAGCTATTCATGAATATTTGCCACGTGGCAAGTGTATGTAACGAAATAATACCAACGATTCGGTTCGGGTTCGGCCCCCGACGACTGCTCTCGCTTCCGAGTCCGAGTCCCACGTTACTGTGTCGACGGTAAGGACTCCGAATGAGCAAAATTCTCGGACATGTGCTGCTGGATGGCCGCCATTTGATGTAAATCCGGTGGCTGATCGGAAACCTGCCAAACCTTCACCGATTTGTCGAGGCTGCCACTGTAAACGATCCAACGTTGATCGCCAGCCGTTGATTCACGATCGACTTCGACAGCAAGGCACTTAACAGGGCCATTGTGTCCCGTTAGCACCGACAGACACGTGTGAACTCCACTCTCCCTCCTCCACACGCAGATCGTCTTGTCAGCAGACCCGGTGAAAACAAGGTTCCCGGCGGCTGCCAAACACAGGACGGCCATCTTATGGCCTTTAAGCACTCCACCGTGAGCGAGTTGTTTCTCACGCTCCCAGAAGTTGACGAGTCCGTCCGACGAACCGCAGTATATGACGGTCATTGACGGATTAACGGCTAATGCCGTTACCGCGCATTCTTGTTTCAGCAACGTCTCCATAAGCACGTGTTTTGTCCCTTTGCCTTGTTGCTCTCTCCGCCAAACTTTGACGGTGCCGTCAGCCGATCCAGTGAAGACTAAACCCTCGAAGCCGGCAACGACCGAGTTAACCGCGTCGTCGTGTGCGATGATGGACTCCAAGCATTTGGAATCTGAAATCCTCCACACTTTGATGGTTTTATCCCAAGAAGCCGAGTAGAGAATTCCTTGATCCTCGTTCAAGCTCAGACAGGAAATGGCGTCGAAATGCTTGATCCAGAGTCCGTTCTTATTACGCCTCACTTCGACGTAATTGCTGGGGTTGAGCGAGCTCTTGATGAAGTCCTTCAGAGTGGGGAGAGTTCCGACGCGTTTGTGAACGCTGGGATTCTTGGGGGACACCTTCCAGACTCGAATCTTACCGTCCTGGTGACCGGTAAAAATCTTATCGCCGGAGATTATAATGGCTTTAACTAATCCACTGGTAGATTTGAAGCAGGAGAATTCCTTCTGGTTTTTCCAGACGCGAATGTTCTTGCTGTCAGATCCAGTATAGAGTAAGTCGCCGGTAGCGGCCAGAGAGTATATGTGGCCTTCTTCGCGGACGAGGGATCCGATTAGACCGTTGGGAGGGAAATTCTCATCGAAGGGACTAACAGGAGAGGATCTGGACCATGGAGACTTGGCGAGAGGAGAAGCCTGATTCCATGGGGACATGATCATGGGAGAGCTATCTGCGCTGATTGGGTTGTCGTAGTAACCGGGGCTTGTCCCGGACTCGCTGCTGTTGCGGGCGGCGAATTCCTCTTCGTTAGGGGGAGTAGGAATGTTTGGATCAGAATGTGCGGCATTACCAGTTTTAGACCGCGACATGCTGTTCGCTTCCGTCAACATCTTATCTCTCCTCTTGAGTACCCGATTTTACTCTGCTTTCCGCATTACTATAAAAGAGACGAGGGGGAATGATTAATGAATAGTTCAAGTAGAAGAAATTCAGAGAACCGAGTCCGGAGACGAAGAAGAGGCGAGAGAGAAGATGCAAAGATAGAGAAATAGAAGAAAAAAAAAGATGAAAAGTTGGGAGAAGGGTGAGAGCGTATAAATATATAGCAGGGAGTAGGGAAGGGAAGGAGGAGGCTGGCAACACGTGTAGAGACGAAACGCAATGCAGGGAGATGGAGATGGAGATCTGCTGGGGTCACGGACTCACGTCACGTCTGCCGTGGATTATAACAAGTAAAAACGTGTTTGTTATTTTTTGAATGGAGGTGGTGTGGACTGTGGTGTTGTTAAATACTTAAATTAGGGGATTAGGAATTAATTTAGAATTGTAAAGGTCTATCGGGTCAAAGATTCAAACCCCAAACGCGGTTGTTTCGGGGTGGAGACTGGAGACCGGAGAGGACGAGAATGTTTCTAATTTTATAAAGTAAAAAACAGGTGTTTCACACATTCAAATTTGCTTGCGACAAGTGGTTATTGACCTTTGACCGGGTCTAATGACATCGGTACCCCTTGCTTTCTTTTAACTTTTTAACTTTTAAAATTAGGGTGGGTCACCACCACTCACCAATGGGCCAAATGATTTAAGTTAGGCACATCCCAACTTCTTCAATTGAGCCCCACACCAGATCATTACACGCCCTGTGGCCTGTGCCCATGTCTTTTCTAAGGATGCTCATGGGCCAGTTTTTTGTTGGGTCCGAGAGCATTTTAAGCTGCCCAAGCCCAGCCCATAATTGTATCATGTGGGTCGGGTAGAACTAGTATTTGGGGTTGTCTTGATGATTCAACGAGGACAAATGACAAACCTACTTTGAAAATTAGAATTTGTTAGATACATGAGATGGGATGTGCCTTAATTACTTGTCAAAATTGAAGAAGGGATCAATTTGTGATATTTATAGAATAAAATCTGTGTCATCCATCACCCATGCTTTATTCTGACTGTATGGGACCTGTAATATGACTCCTGTGTTGTCAATGTCATATCTACCAGAAACCATCTTAATATACTCTTTCTATTGTAGACAATTGTTAAAACTGAAAGATAATTATATGAAGATGTTGAACATGGAAAGGAAAGGAAAGGACCCAATGCTTGCGATTGGGACATGGGTTGGACTCCATGAATCCAATAATCAAATATATATAGTCTCAAATATTAGTAGATAAAAGAATTAAAAAATGGACAAAGCGGTGCTACGTGGAACACAGGCGGCACATTAATATTTTCTTCCAATACCGTTGGAAACTTTGACCTAATTTTCAAACATAACAGGTGTAGAGCAGGAACTGGGCCAAAAGTATTGTTTTAGGTCCATACACCTTAACGCGCCCAGATGTCAACGGTCCAACCCACCCATTGAAGTTCTTTTTTTTTTTTGTTTTAGGCTTGCTATCAAGAAATCATGGGAAAGATCTACAGAACAGGTTTATAATATAGGGTGGTTTCTTGCTTTCTCTTGTCTCCATTTGTACATCCCAACAATATGGCCTTTGTTTTCTTGCACTCAAAAGAAAAGAAAAAAAATATTGCTTTTGAGACACCAATCTACAAATAGGATCAAGATTGCTATTATGTTACCACGTGTCAAATCCTTACTTAAGCCTCACAAAATTTGTTCTCAGGATACTTGCAGTTCATTTGGGAGCATCTCTATGGTTATATTTTTTCATTCAGGTTACATGGGCCATAACTACTTTTTAAAGCGGGACTTGCTCCTCATGCATCTCACACCAACCTGACAGCGTTTTCAACTAGAATATATTTCGTATTTGTTTGTCATTTAGTCTCTATTTGGAAGGAGTACAAATACAAATATGTAGGGTACAAAATCTTGTATTTTGTATTATTTTGTTTGTATTTTTACTCCTTCCAATGCTCAGTTTGGAAAGAATACAAATATAAATACACATGGCACAAATCTATACTACTTTAAAAAGCATAAATGGCCTTAAGAATATTTTTGAATTTTTTTGAGGATAAAATTTATCCCTCTATATTTAAATTTATTTATAAAAATGAGGGCAAATAGGGTAATTGGTTATTGATATTAAATGAGTTGGAAAGAGCTAATTTTAAGATATTCAATATACTCGATTCCTTCTCATTAAATCTAACACTTAAGTTATTAACTTGTATTCATGTTCATTGAATCATATATTTAAGCCATTTTTGTTTCTTCTCATCATTAAGTTCTATTAATTAAATCCATACTTAATAAATTAACAATTTCAATAACATAAAAACTTATACTTTTAAAATCTACCTAGAAAAAATAGTTTTTCATCTAGGTGGTGGTAAGAAATTAAACCATTTGGGTCAAATGGGTCAATTCATGTTGCCATGATTAAATAATGAAATTAAAAAATAGATAAAATGAAAAAAATAAAAATAAAAAATTGAAACATTTTTAACATACATATTAAACAATAATAAGTATGACAAATAAGAAATATTTTTATTAATGATGGAAACGGAATGTTGTTGCTACAATTAAATAATATAACTCAAAAATGGATCAAATGAAAAAAATAGAAATTAAAAAAAAATGGGGACATTTTTAAAATACATATTAAACAATAATAAGTATGATAAATACGAAATGTTTTATTAATGATAGAAATGGAATGTAAAATTTAAAACCAATTGGAAATAAAAATATTTTCTTTTTCTCTTTCATTAAAACCTATATTTAAAATATATTTTTCTCATTGTTAAATTCTTGTAATTAAATCTACAATATTAATTTTAATAGTATAAAAATAATTATTTTGAAAACAAAACCATTTTATTCCCTCTTGGTGGTGGGCAAAAAATTCGACCATTTGGGATCAAATGGATTTATAAATAATGTCAAATTAAATAATAAAAATAAAATAAATAAGTATGAAATGTAAGAAGTATTTTTATTAATAATGAAAATGGAATGCCAAATTTAAAATCTACCTAGAAATGAAATGGTGCCATAGTCAAATAATAAAATTTATAAAAATAGACAATACAAAGAATCACAAAAAAAATATAGAGAAAATTTTGGGCACATATCTAATGTTGTATATTTATAAAAAATAAAATATTGGGTATACTTCTAAAACTATACATTCAATATATTGAACAAAAATAAGTATTATACAAAATAAATAATTTTATCAATGATGAAAATATAATACAAAATTTAATGTCAACCTAGAAATCAAACTATTTTTCTATTTTTTGGGTGGTGGGTTAGTGGTTTAGGTCAAATGATATCATAGACAAACAAAAATTAAGTGTGATAAGTAAAATTATTTTATATAATGTAAATGAGATATATAATTTAAAGGGAAAATTAATGGCTCTACATTTCAAATTATAAAATCCCCCCGCCATGTCATCAAAGGCTTATGTGGCTATTGCCAACACGGGACTCTTAATCCATGTTGGACACAACAAAAAGCCTATACTAAAAATAGGTTTTCAATTTCTCTCTCATTTCCTTTGTCTCTTGATCTCCCTCCTTTTTCTCTCACTTTCATAGTCATCTCTCGATCTCCTGCTCCCTCTATCTCTCCCACTCTCTTAGCTTCGGTTTGTAGCCAAATCAAAACCTCTCTCTCTCTCAATCTATCGTTCTCCCTTAGTCTTTCTCCCATTCCCTCTTTTGTTCCATTTTTTATTTTTCTTACAAACTTGTACAATATTAATAGGGTCGTATAAAATAACTAAAGGGACCAACCACCTGTACAATCAAGTTATAAATTTCTTTTAAGTTGGTGTAAATTTCATCGCCAAGAGTTTCTTGTGAATTTTTATTAAATTGGTGTAATGATTTTTGAACCATACCAAATTCATCTCATGTTCTTTTATACGATCTAGTTAATACCATATAAGTGTGTAAGAAAAATTAAGAAAAAAAAAGAACGAGAGAGGGAGTGGGAGAGAAAGAGAATAAGAGAGATTGAGGGAGAACGATAGGTAGAGAGAGAATAAGAGAAATTAATAAAAAGAATGAAAATACATAAACCAAAAAACCATTTTTATTTTTATTTTTTGAAATCACACAATCGTTGAGTAGAGAGAGACAACTTTGAGAACTTTGAGAATGAGAGAGAGAGAGAGAGAGAGATGAGCATGAGATAAACTAAAAACCCTTTTTTATTTTCCAATCATCCAACATTAAAGGGCAATTTAGGTATAAGATTTTTTTTTGTCCAACATGGATTAAGTCCCATGTTGGCAACAACCACATAAGCCTTCGATGATATGGTGAGGGTTTTTAGAATTTGAAATATAGAGATAGTTAGAGTTTTGTTGGTTTTTGGACCAACCTATAGCCTAATTTTAAATGTACAACCGACTCTGACTATAATTTTCCCTAATTTAAAACTAATCCAAAAGCAAAGCTAATTTCTTATCTAGATGGTGGGTCAATGATTCAACTTTTCAAAGAAACCCATGATGTTATAATTGAATATTAAATATTTAGAAAAAGATAGAACACCAAAAATAAAAATGTACAGAATTTTGTCAAAAACATTTGAGAACATTTTTAATGTTATATATTCATCATATTAAAGAAAAATAATTGTTAAAATAAAAGTTATTTTCATTTTTGATAGAAATGGAATACAATAGTAATAATAATAATAATAATAATAATAATAATAATAATAATAATAATAATAATAATAATAATAATTGTTACTTGCTACAAGCATTTAAGTTTATTTTTAATCATATTGTTACTTTTGCTAATTTTCAATTTATATCTTAACTATGATATATCTAAAATTCAAATAATTAATATGAAGAAAAATTTCTCATGTGCAATGTATGTGCTTAATTACTAGTGCATACAAAATATTACAAAGATACAAAGTTTTGTAATCTACATATTTGTATTTACACTCTTCCCAAATGGAGCTTATGAGAAGATGCTCCTTATGCAAGGTTGTGATGGGATATGACATTGCTATGAGATGCATTATGTGAGGTGCAAATCTGATTTCTTGCTTATCCATTTGAATCATCCTTAGTTCATAGTTGAAACTATCTTCGATTGAGCAAGGTGCTGATTGGCTGGTTGGTATGGTCTCTT